ATGAAAAAAATAACACATAACCTCAATTTCTGGCTAAACTATGAAAAATTCGATTAGGAATTTTTTAAGAAAGTGACCTTTATTTTAACCAGGGATTCCAAAAATGTCGAAATGCACAGGATAAAATAACAAAGTTGATGTCGGGAGCAACAGTTTTGGGACACCCTGTATCAACAAAATTATAATATAATATATAATATTAAATCTTCAGGAGAATCCAAGCAACTTTTGTACGAAACTTTTTTTTGTATCTAGATCGTATAGTCGATCGTTTTATTTGGCACGCGGTGTACATAAGTTTGAAGTGACGTCATGGATGATAATTTTTATCTTCCTGTCAATGAGTGTTCTTTAAAATATTGAATACTGACAATGCCAAATTTGTAACAATACTTTCTACTTTTTCTGGTTTTCACTTGAAATTTTCCATTTGATTTTAGAAAAATCATTGAAAACATGTCAACATCAGACAGTACATTTTTTTAACTTATTGTAGTAAAAATAGTTGTTGCAAACTGACAATAAATAATTTGCAACCTTAATGCGAAAAAATCAGAAACCTTTAATGTAGAATAAAAGTGATTTGTACTAAATTAAGTTAATTTAAAACGAAAAACTGTGTCATTGACTTGGAACGTATTATAAGGTTGCATTACAAAGTGAATATGACTACATTGAAAAAAAGTTACAATATTCACAGTGATGAAAAACGTTGCAAATATGGCACTTTTAAACACAAATTTTACATGCTTCTTCTAACATTTGAGTGTTCGTCCTTCATATAAATTTAGATAAAATTAAGGGCAAAAGTCTCTCTCCTAAAAGAAAATATTTTTCTTTCAAGAATTTGGTTCTTTTAGAAAAAAGTGCAGCGGATGATGGCCGTACAAAGATACTGTTTTCGTTTTTTTTTGCCTGTCAAGATGTGCCACACGAACGCCACTGGTAGGAACAGAATTAAACCTGGTATAATTTTTCAAAGAAACTTCCAAAGACTACTGCAATACTAAATCTTCTGGATGCCTCCCGGGTCGGTTCTCGATGAATCGAAGCCTGGTCTGTATAGTGTATCTCAAAGTATATGGTGTTGTTTTTTGTCGAATTCTGCCCGAGTAAACCTTTATCGGTAACAATATGTAATGACTATTGTTATCAATAAATAATTTATCCATACTTGAGTAGGTAAACTTTTTTTACGAGGATCGACTGTATCTCGTGGAAATCACCTATCTAACATATCCAACGTGGATAATATTAAACAACCTTCTTTAGTCCAATCCTGCTGTTCTGTTCTACCGCGCCAGCGTTCTAGTGGTGTCTTCAGCATAGATTTGATTAGGTCAGGCAAAAACCAAAACGGTATCCTTTGAGTCAAACTATACTTTTTTGTCAATACTAAATTTGAAGATTCTAACGACATGTTTTTATTAGCCAAAAAGAAGTCCCATATTTATCTAAATATTTGTAATAGCGTGGTTCATTTTAAATATACAAGGTGTCACAAATTTAAAGATTTTTTTTAAAATTAAATACTCAAAAACCTTGAGGTGTTTTGGACAACGTTTGGCACGCTTGTTTGTAGTCACGAGGGTTTTTTTTTCTACATTTCAGTGGCGTCTTAGAGTGTGACCCAATTGATACTTATAGGAAAAATCATGGTACGCTGTTGACTGTTTTCTTAGATCAACAAATCGAAAATAAAACTTAACTTTAAATTTTTCGAATAATTGACTAAAAATCGTTTTCCGGGGTAACCGTTTTAATTTTTATTTTGAAGACGATACGCAAACAACGACAGGAACGAAAAAGTTTCATTTTTGATTGCGTGTTCTAAAAAATCTAAAAAAGTAAAAATTCATTAGCGTACCATGATTTTACCTGTAAATATCAATTAGGGCTCGGACGCCACTGAAGTTCTTATTCCAAACATGCCCTTAAAATTTATGTACCGAATTTATAAAACAGCTTGTATTTTTCACTCTCAATATAAAGTTTAAATTATTAAATTAAATTTGAAGCAACGAAAAAAATTTTGAACGACCGACTGATACAAGGCGATGACAAAGCGTCGATTGAGATAATATCACGTTTCGGAAATTAGTGAACGGCCGTGTTAAACACGCGTTGCGCCATAGTCGATATCGCGATACCAAAAAATTGTCATCGACGACGACAGCGTTTGAAAATTATACAGGGCGACCGCGAACGGTGCGGCCAATTAAACCGATTTTTTTTACACGCGTCGGACTCTTTGAGACGGCTCGAGTTGCTTTGATGCTTTTTTCGCTCTCGCACCTATAGATTTATATATGTATGTATAATAAATAATTATTCAAGCCGCTCGAGCCTATTGCAGAGAGCCTATTGGGCAATTGTATTTTATAGAGTTAATCGATCATTCGTAAATTGGCCGAGATTTTTTCCCGGCCTTTAATTTGCATTTTTACCGAGCGGATTGTTTTTCCCAGACGCTTTCGCCGCGCATTTTAGATAAAGGAAAACATTTGTAAAATTTTATTTCGGGCGAAATAATTAAAAAGAAAAATCGAGATATAGGAAACAAAAAATGTTTTTGGTGTTCTATAAAGGAACTTTATTATTCGTAGACGATAAAGATGTGTCTATTATTATTTTTATTTGGAAATCTCCGTTTTTTTTTGAAATCCTAAAATGCTTTTTGTAGGTTTTGAATTTGGAGTTCTTTTCATGTTATTATGTAGATTGTATTTGCTACTCATGATATTTGCATTGCTACCAGATGTGTGATTGTCAATTTTTGATTCGATTGTTTTTTGCTGAACTTTTAACAAATTACCAGATTAAGCTCGTGTATCGGTTAGTTTTTGGGTAATGGAGGACTAAGCCGTAGTTCATAATCGAAAGGACAAGTGATTGAGGTAAAAGTTTCCGAAAACTGAAATTAAGGACAGTTCTGTGCCTGTATAAATGGCGCAAAAGCAAATACGACTTTTTCACCAACAAAGATACACAGTTAATTAATAAATACATTTGGGATTCTTGTTCGATGTTAGGATTAGGAGAAAAGACCATTACGCAGCATTTTTTAGCATCAAATTGAAGATTATGACTAGAAGAATCTAGAAATGTTATATATATCCAAATTGATATAAATTGAAGCAATATCAAATAATTTAGGATCGAAGGAGTAAAATATTTAAAAATATAGTTGGCTATGACATCACAATATCTTTTTTTGACGGATTTGTATTTGTTTTTGTTGTTTTTCATATTTCTATTTCAAGGGAAGATACGAATTGATCGTAAAACAATCGAAACGGATCTTTCGAAGAAAATTCAAATGACGACACGAACGAACCGTATTTCTTGACATGTCATAGCCAACTACATTTTTAAATATTTTGATATGTCTTTGTTGTTTTGATGCTTTAAGAGGAACACTTTTAACTAAACATTATGGACCGAATTAGCGAACTCTTTTTAGTTAACTTTTTGTTTTAAAGAATTATTGTTTCAAATTTGTTACCTTGTTCGTTATCCTATAAACTTTAATTATTTATTTTTGATATAGGTATTTTCAATCAAGCTAGATAATTAGCTATTAAATGTTTCTTTAAATTTAAAAAAAAATAAAAAAATCAAAGTATTTATGTGGAATATCTCACAAAGTAAGTAAAATTTAAATGTAAGATAAATTACAAACTTACCTTATTTTTTGTCCTAGAATTGATGTCTGAATAAAAATGTAGTGTGGTCCATTTGAAAACCTTGAGATTTTGTTAACTGAATTCGCCAAAACGGCACCACAATTTGGGACAACCTGTATAAGATGAGGCGCATCTGTCACACTGATTGAGTAGTGTATCATCTCCTTAGTCTGTGGTTAAATTTTCGTTGCAATACCTGTATGAGTAGTGTCACAAGACAATTAAACTATGCAAAATTCGATTAGGAATTTCTTAAGAAAGTGACTTTTATTTTAACCAGGGATTAAAATAGCTGAGTGTTATCAGCAATTGAATGCAAATTCAAATATTCGATGGTTGTATAAATATCAGAAATATAAATTACGAATAATATAGCTCCAAGGGCAGAACCTTGCGGTACACCTGATGAAACAGGGAGAAATTCAGAACTTACATTGTCAAGGGTAACTCTGATATCTGTTAGTTAACTACCATCTCTCTAATTTATTCCTTGATTTTTAACGTTCTCTGTGAAGTCTTATGACAAATTTCCTGTCGTTCTTATGTGTTCGGACTAAAATAAATTGGATTGAATAATAAGTACAGGGTGATTCAAAGTTCATTATCTCATTGATTGATGAAAAGTTATAAGAAAATAATGTATAGAAAAGTTGCACAGTTTAAAAATATACGGGGGGCTCAAAAGAGTACGACGATTAAAACATATATTTTTTCAATTTAACAACCCATTTTTAAATTTTATTTTTTACTCGTATTGATACTTTTTCTAATGTTTTAATTTTTATAAATTGCAAAAAAAAATACGATTTGAGAATAAATTACTCATATTTGATATTAAAAGATATCGCAAAAGATATATGCAACGCAGTTTCAATCAGGTTCTACTGTTTGTTCAAAACGAACGAATATATTTGGATCAGTTTAATTTTTTAATAATTTATTAATAGATTAACCAAAACTATATATTATTATTTTTCTGAAACATCTTAGTAAAACTTACAAACTTTGATTAAGTGTATCATGTACCTATTCCTTGACCATGACAAAACTGTTAGCCAACAAAACTCTGTTAAAATTGAAGTCGTAGACAAACTAACAGACTGTTATTATCGGTTTTGGTGAAAATAACTAGCGAATTTTCAATTTACAGAAATTTCGAACGAATTGTGGAAATCTAAAAACTCAAAAAATTTAAAAATGTTCTTAACAATTAATTTTTTTTTACAACTTTCTGTCGTTTAACTCAATTAACGTGGAGAACTTTGATCGGTCCCTTATTGTTTATAAGTCAATATATTTGTGTTCTTTTCCCAGTGTATAGGTCACGTGAGCGGGTGTCACGTCAACCCCGCCGTCAGCGTCAGTCTTTTCTGCACGGGTGACATCAAGTTGGTGCGTTGCCTGTTGTTCGTGGTGGTCCAGTGCATCGGCGCCATGGCCGGTTCGTCGTTGCTAAAGGTGAGCCGTCTTCGACTAGAAAAAAAATTGCGTTCCCGTCTCCCTTCGCAGAGCCACTTAATCGACTTTGACCGACGCTTTCTCGGTGAAAGAATCGCGTCTATGGTCGCCGCTCGATTTGTTTTCTTTTCCTTTCACCAGGTACATCGACCGCAGTGTTTTTTTGTTCCGATTTTTGTACCAGTTGATCATTTTCACCAATTCTTGGGTGACTGTAGCAACTACAAATGGTGACAGAAGCAAGTTGGGATCATCCGGATTCAGCGCTATAAGCTTTAACGTGTTCCATATTAAGGAAGGAAGATAACTTAGCCTAACTGTTGATGTTTTATGTTTGATTTTGACTCGTTATTGAGCGAGTGTGCTTTGTTTTTAACTTTTGAGCAGAAAGGTTTGTTTATAACTTTACCTTGAATCTTCGTCTCGTTTCTTTGTTAAATTCATTTTATAAAGATGTGTATTTTTTCTAGTTTTTTAGACTAATGTTTAAAGGTGGTTATGATTCAGACAGATTCATAAATGTTTTAGAAGAAGCCTAGGAGTAATTTTTTTTTGAGTAGAAAGGTTTATAACTTTACCGTAATCCTTTGTTTTGTTTCTTTGCTAAAATTCGTTTCTTAAAGATGTGTATTTTTTCTATATTTTTAGACTAATGATTAAATTTGGTTATGATTCAGATAGATTCAAAAATGTTTTAGAAGAAGCCTAGGAGTAATTTTTTTTTAGTAGAAAAGTTTATAATTTTACCGTAAACCTTCTTCTTGTTTCTTTGTTGAATTCATTTTGTAAAGATGTGTATTTTTTCTGGATTTTTAGACTGATGTTTAAAGGTGGTTATGATTCAGATAGATTCAGAAATGTTTTAGAAGAAGCCTGGGGCTAATTTTTTCTTGAGTAGAAAGGTTTATAACTTTACCGTAAACGTTCTTCTTGTTTCTTTGCTAAAATTCATTTCTTAAGGATGTGTATTTTTTCTAGATTTTTAGACTAATGATTAAATTTGGTTATGATTCAGATAGATTCAGAAATGTTTTAGAAGAAGCCCAGGAGTAATTTTTTTTTGAGTAGAGTACCGTAAACCTTTGTTTTGTTTCTTTGCGTTTTGATTCTCTATTGAATTCATTTTTTAAAGATGTGTAATTTTTCTAGATTTTTTCACTAATGACTATAGGTGGTTATGATTCAGATAGATTAGAAGAGGCCTAGGCGTAAAAATATTTTTTTTTGAGCAGAAATTTATAACTTTACCGTAAATCTTCGTCTTGTTTCTTTATTGAATTCATTTTATTACGATGTGTATTTTTTCTAGATTTTTAGGCTAATGGTTATGGTTCAGATAGATTCAGATATCTTTTAGAAAATGTCTAGGCGTAAAACTATATTTTTTAACAGAGACCGTTTTAGAATATAATTGTCATGAAGGTATCGAGCATTTTGAAGTTAGCAAAGTGACTGCTTTTTTTACAATAATTGAGGTTATGTTGATTTTGAACAGCGCTTCTTTTAAGAATGCCTGACGCCGCGCGCATGCGCTGTCCAACTGTCTAAGAACAATTTTATGCCTCGATTCTGATCAAACATTTAGGAGTGTAGCAACAAACCTATAGAGTCGACCGCTTTTGTTAGTCACATTAACGAAAAAAAAATCACCAATTTTAATGTGCGAGGGCAGGGGTGAAACGCCGCGTATATTGTTCTGTTTTTAATATACTTTGGTGGAACAAAGGGCGTCGAATCATATGAAAGCTTACTGTAATTTGTACTTTGCTTTGAGTAATTTCATAAAGCCTATGTCCCTATGATTTGAGGTCTGCTTTCTTTCGTGATTAAGAACAATTTGTTAATTGTTAAATATTTTTCGTTAGCCTGTTCCCGCTCCGTTTTTTTTTGTTCTACGAAAGCCGTAGACGAAAACCGGGTCTCATTCCAAACACTGTTTTTAGTAGTAAAAGTCTCGGATATGTTAAAAATAGTAAAAGTGATCTCCGCGATTACTTTTACTCGATATATCGGGCGGTAATTGAGGTGCAACACCGTGACGGCAAGTAAATGGGATCCGTAATAACGGCGTTTAAGTGAAAATGAAAATGTCGTCGTCGTAACCACCTAACGTATATCCGTGACGTTTCGTTGTAAGTATTTCTATCATCCGTACGGGTCTAGTCGTAGTGACCCGCAGCAATGTGCGAAGGTGTCGGTCAGTCTGGAGGTCTCGCGTGGCCTTTGCGAATGTCAGGGGTGTCACACGGTCACGCTTCGGCTTCTCATTCACTTTAGCCGACAGAAAATAACAGTTACACTAAGTAAACGTTTCAAAATCCCCTCGTATTTCGCAAACTTCACACATCAGTGTTTCAATTACACACCAACTTCATTTCTTAAATTGAATTATTACATACGTTGTATAGGTTCTAAACGTTGTTTTTTAGAAAATTCATCTATCATAGGAATAATTTTCAACTATTTCAACTGTTCAACTGTTTTAAATAAAAATCAGAAAATTTGTTGACTGTTTGGTTACATTTATTTATTTTGCAAGATGTGCATAATTTTGCGAACCCCCTGCATGCGATAACTTAAAAATTATACCACAATGTGCCATTTGCAAGTGGTAAACAAAATTTCAGTTTTTTACCGAATAACAGTTAATTTAATATCGATGCTTTTTACAAAATCCTCTAAAAAAATGGGACAAAACAATTCGAGACAACTCGAACATATTTTCAAAATAGAAGCCTGTTTTTTTCCATTTTCTTTGTACTTGTAAAAAAAGCGATTTTGTTGTTCTCAATAATTACTTGGATTTACAACCGGTTAATAGTGTCTAGTTTTCTGTATTTTTTCCAAAAAAAAAAACATCAAATATACACTCTTCAACTACTACCCTACAATAACTCTCTCTCGCTGTCTGCCTGTCGTAGCACCTAAGGAATCATCAAAATAAGTCTTTGTCAGTAAGTACATATTTATGTACCTGATTCTTGAGCTTTGACTTTGCGAGGTTGTTTTCATTGGATAATTCAAAGGGTAAGGGTAAGTACCTGTACTCTATTGATCTTACAAGTACATTTTTGTCCTGTGTGCCTGTCGATTAATAACATTCTTCTTCTTTTATTTTTGTGTCTTCTACATTGTTCTTCGATTTGTAAACTACATCAGTCTTTTTAAAGACTATGTAATCTAGAGATCAGTAGATAAAGATAGGTCATAAGAATACAGATAAGTATTTATTAGAATCTTACAATTAAACATTGTTTGGAGTTTCCTATTTTTTAACACTTCGCGGACCACTATAGAACTTTCGCAAAATCGATGTAATTTAATTGTGCATGTACCCTGTATAAAATGTCCTTCGCATCTCGTCGAACTTCAAAGTTATAGCAAACATCGGTAAATATTATGCCGAGTGATATTTTGCAAATAATTGATAAAACCTGACTCTCTCACCATACGGTTTACGATAACGTTCAAACAAAATTATCCCATCTTTAACGGTTTTTCATTTATCGCCAATAATTAACCTACAAAAGCGGAAATTTGTAGGATCTATTACAATTTCTTGCCCACAAACGACATACCCTGTATATAATTCGAACAATGTTCTAAATAGAGGATATAGCCCGGGATCTCCTTAGTTTCCTGGTATCCGAATTTTTCCAATGGAGTAAAATGGTTTTCAAAAAACTGCTGTTTTTCTGTCCATAACTATAACACCTTGTATATAATCGAAAAAATGCGTGAAACAAAAGTTATAGCGCCATATCACATACAACGTACTTATGTCACGCATGTTAGGGTAAGTAGATAAATTTCTAGGACGGTTCTAGAACGATAACGGGTAAGGGTCTGCTCGGCAAAGTGTTCTATAAGCGGCTGCGGATTTGGAGTAATATATTGCACTATATTTCTGGTCGAAGTATACCAATCTTCACATTGCTATTGTATTTGTATTTTTTATATTTGAAAATTGTATTCGAGTTTTCTCAGAATTGCGCAAACTGTACGAATAGTACAGATAGAATCTTGGATTATATCTTGCTGCACGTGGCGCGTATTTTTTTCGATAAAATTTAATCACCTAATGGGAAAACACTTCAACTGTGATACCTTCGCGCGATAGTTAATATTCGGCGATGGTAGAAGGACAAAATTTCGTGTTGATAACGGTGATGTGGAAAATGATGGACGGTGTACAAGCGACGGAAAAGTTACTTGTCAGTACGTTGTTTTATAAATTTAGTTTTCGATGAAAAAAGGGTTTCGTTTTATTTAGCTTACAAAAAGAGATACTTAAGAGGGTAGTTACACGGAATGTTTTAGTTGGCGAGATCTTTTGCGTTCCGCATCTTACGTGCAAAAATAGGCTAATTATTCGCTTCCTGTGCCTACATTTTTAAAGGCCTTCGAGCTTATTGCGATGCGTTTTTTTTTAAACAATGTGGTGTATAACATTTTTTTCTCGCCGTTAAAAAAGGCGCATCCTCCGACATTCGAATACCGAAGTACTTGACCGGCATGATGCGAACGCAGGAACGAAACGTTTATGCATTTTAAGTATCCTTTCACTTTTTTTTTTCTTGTTCAATTGTTAATCGTAAAGGCCTCGCGCCGACGAGTCGGTGCCAAAAGGCTAGCGGTGCTGTTATAAAATATGCGAGGTTCGTGATTTGGCTTTAATATAAAAAAAAAATCACGCGCCGCCGATTTCTGTGTCGTCGCGTCCCGATAACATCCGCTAAAATTCCAGGCTATGATCCCGGAAGAATTAGTCGGCACCCTAGGGATGACGGCGGTAAATCCGGACCTGAGCTCGTACCAAGGTCTGCTGGTTGAAGCGGTGCTGACGTTTTTGCTTTTGTTCGTCATCCACGCCGTCTGCGATCCGAGAAGGAAGGACGTTAAGGGGTCGATCCCGTTGGCTATCGGGTTCGCCATCAGCGCCTGCCACCTGAGCGGGGTGAGTTCTTGAGCCCGGCGCATCCGCCAAAGGCGGAGTAAATTATCTTCGTTTTCCTTTAGATTCAATTCACTGGATCCAGCTTGAATCCGGCTCGCACTTTCGGTCCGGCGGTCGTTATGAACCTCTGGGACAACCACTGGGTCTATTGGGTCGGTCCGATTCTGGGCGGAATCGTCGCTGGTCTGGTTTACAAGTTTTTCTTTCGCGCGCAAAAGGGCGAAAGCGACTCGTACGACTTTTAAATGTGTTGGAAAAAAATTCGTGGAGCTTCTTGTACAAATTTCCATTAAAAATCGGGGTAATTGTCCCCCACCCCCACTCCCAATTCTCACATTTCACCAAAATGTGGTTTTAAAGTGATTTATTATTTAGTTATAAAATAATTGTATTATTATTATTACAGATACATATTTATACTATTAAGGAATTGATTTCAATTGTACTTTACGACATATTTGTAACGTAAAAGTTGTGTGTAAATATATTATTGTTCTCTGGAAAATATGTTTATTATGAAAATTTGTGCCAGTTTTTGCGGTCGATGAAATTTTCGTGCGGTGTTGCCGCTATTTTTCGAAAAAATTCCCTACATTTTTAAATTATACTCTTGCGTGTCGAATTTCGACGCGGCGTTGCCAGATTGTGCAAAATTTCCTAATTACTAAAGATTTTTAGTTATAAAACATTTGTGGTCGATGAAATTTTCGTGCGGTGTTGCCGCTATTTTTTGACAAAATTCCCTAGATTTTTAAATTATACTCTTGCGTGTCGAATTCTGACGCGGCGTTGCCAGATTGTGCAAAATTTCCTAATTACTAAAGATTTTTAGTTATAAAACATTTGTGGTCGATGAAATTTTCGTGCGGTGTTGCCGCTATTTTTGACAAAATTCCCTAGATTTTTAAATTATACTCTTGCGTGTCGAATTTCGACGCAGCGTTGCCAGATTGTGCAAAATTTCCTAATTACTAAAGATTTTTAGTTATAAAACATTTGTGGTGGATGAAATTTTCGTGCGGTGTTGCCGCTATTTTTTGACAGAATTCCCTAGATTTTTAAATTATGCTCTTGCGTGTCGAATTTCGACGCAGCGTTGCCAGATTGTGCAAAATTTCCTAATTACTAAAGATTTTTAGTTATAAAACATTTGAGGTCGATGAAATTTTCGTGCGGTGTTGCCGTTATTTTTTGACAAAATTCCCTAGATTTTTAAATTATACTCTTGCGTGTCGAATTTCGACGCAGCATTGCCAGATTGTGCAAAATTTCCTAATTACTAAAGATTTTTTAGTTATAAAACTTTTGCGCTCGACAAAATTTTAGTGCGGTGTTGCCGCTACTTTTTGACAAAATTCCCTGGATTTTTGAATTGCACTCTCGTAGATCGAATTTCGAACCGGCTTTGCCAAATTGTGCAAAATTTTCTTTTTGCCAAATTTTGTACTCACAAAATATTTTTACGGTGTTGCCGATGTTTTAATAAATTTCCCTAAGTTTTTAATTCGTGCTTTGTTGTTTCGTTTTAGAACATCGGGACCAGCTGAACCTTACAAATTTTTTTATCCACTTTGAATCCGAGTAAATTTGGCGGCAATGTTGCCGCGTCTAGCCGAAAGTCCGAGGAAATAAAAGACCGATCGAATATTATTATTTATTCACAATTTCATTAAAAAATTGCCTTGAAAGCGATATCATTAATATTAACACTAATGCAAAATTTCCTAAACGAATAAATACAATCAATATACCCAATAACTTAACGCCGAAATACCAAAAGGGATGTATAAACATGTGTGGTTTTTGTCCATTTGCCACCCCTATCCCGGGAAACCCGACGCGTCGTCGTTCACGCGGTCCTCTATTCGAATTTAACGGAAAAGTGTTTCCCTCGTTTTGGAAGATCGCGATCGCGGCGAGGGGTTGCATGGCGGAGTGGGCGTGACCGGGCCGACGAGGTCCTCGAGACAGGCACGGCAAAAAATCTATATTTTTCAATAAGGTATATTGGACATTATTTTACATAGTACGTTATAACTGGTAATACAAAAGTTGGACTCTGAGCGCCGTTTTGGATAAACTCGCAATAGGGGCGGAGGAGGAGGGGGGGACGGGAGGGGTCCCCGATTCACCCAAAACGGCCAGAAATGAAACGAAACTCGTCCACACCTCCTCGGACGCACAGTTACACACGCTCTAAGCTACGCAATTTAAAGAAATTACCCGCATTTTCTTAAATTGGCAGAGATATATATATATTAGTAATTATCTAACGAATAGGGGGTCGGCGCGCCGCCGCCGACGCGACGACAGCGACGCGGGCGCGCCGACGGGTCGGGCGAGAGCCGTCGAAATTAGGCTTCGAGTTCGCGAAGGAAATTTTCACCGATTTCCTCAACATCGTTTTGTCAAAGACAATACTCGTATTGTTATTTAATAACTTTAAAACTCGATCGCGCGCGAATCGTCTTGATTTCTTAATATAGACCGGGCGACGAGCGGACCCCGAGCCACGCCCACGACCCCGACGGTCGCGGCCAGTGAAGAAGAGGAACTGCGTTCACAACTGGACCCATAAAAGTAAATAAGAAGAACGGCACGCCACTTACAATTGGCCCGATTCAATTAAAGAAGAAGAACTGCAAAGACGTTGAAGAGATCCATCTTCAAGTGGAGGCGGTGAAAGAAAGACAGAGAGAAAGACTCGCACCGTCGTATAAGCGAAAGGGCCCGCCGTCACCGCGTTCGTCCTCAAAAACTCCATTTTAACAGTTATTAAGGCAACGTCTTATTTGTTTTTGAGTCGGACATAGATAGGATGGAGCATGTTGGGATTGGGAGCGCGTCGAATCGAAACGGAACGGCGGAATGGGGGAGTTGGGGCGGGTCTCTGGGAACAACGATACTAGCGCCATCTTCCGACACGGTCATATCACAGAACGAACGAATTTACAAGGGAGGGTGTGTGTGTGTGTATATATATGTGTCGTGGCGGTTTCCATATTTTTTCCATTTCCTCGTCGAACGGCGGTTTTAAAGCACTTAGGGAAGAATTTATTAATGTGGTTATCCTTTTCCACGCGTTCGGAACTAATTACTCTCCTTAGTTAATATACATTACTTATACGAACGGCGGCGAATACTAATTTTTAATTCATATAATTTAGATGTAAAATTCAAAATCCTTGGGTTTTTTTTAGTATTTACAGAGGTCGGACTGGACAGAGCGGGGGCGCCCGGCGGCGGCCTGAAACGCGCGTTTAGCCCCGAAATATTTAAACGCGACGTCCAATCAATGGATGATGTGAAAAACACCAACTTAAACTCTCTCTAGAATAAAGCCGTCATACAAGCATTATCCACACCAAAACGCAGCCGCCGTCGCCACTCGCCCCGCGCATCCACCACAACGGCGACAGTTAATTACCGATCGTAAACGTTAATTAATAAATGTAGTTATTGGCAGTAGTTAAAAAATGTTTAATTACAAATTGTCCCGCGGGACGGAGCGAACGCGTCCCGACGCTAACCACTTTTTACCCGGAAACTGCCGCGGCGAACTCAAAACGACGGGAAAACAGTCTGTGAGGGGGGGCGGAACGAATGCCGCGGGTCGCACGATCAAATCCCGTTGGCCGGTTAGCCGTCCGTCTACCGGGTGTTGGGTTGCTGCTAGCACCAGTCGTCGTCGTCAGAGTCGGAATGGCGGGACCTGAACATTTTTTTAAACAGAAAGTTATTCGTGTGACGCCGAATTTAAAGGGCCGGACGAATTATTATTATAAGTCCCTAATTTTAATAGAAATATTGGATCGCAAGAAGAATAATTATCAGATAGTCTTCAATAAGTTATTGAAAATGTTTTGCCTCAAACTTAGAATTCGTGCTTATTGAAAACTGTTTGCCCAGCGCATCCGACAAATATTAGCATCAGTTTCAACCCGTTTGTTCTTATCGCGCGTGGGATAATCTATTAGAAAAATTATTTCGTTTTAAGTTCCTGACGCACTTAAACAGTTAGTACACCTAGAGCATTTGCCAATATTTTAATGAAAATTATTTTGATTTTAAAGAGCAGTGATAAGAGAAGCTTACCTTGACGGTTTAGGTTTGTATCCGTTGGGCACGGGACTGGGGAGCATGCGACCGCCCCGGCCCAACGCCACTGCCTGTTCAAAGCTCAGCGGCGTCTGGTCGACGCCACGGGCCGGGTTCGCGGGCGCCGTCAGCGGCATCGCCACCGGGTTCGTCGGTGCGTCCCGATCCCGCGGGAAACTGTGAGGGTAAGCGTGGGGAGTCGCGTGCGCCGACTGGCTCTGTATCTGCCCAACGCCCGGTATTTATTAAATAATGAAAATTGAATATTCTCCAAACATAAACTAAAATTTTCACTAGTCAAAAATTGGTACATGTAATTTTTTGGTCATCAAATACACTATTAAAGAAGAAAACAATTTTCCAATAATAGAAAATTTAAAAATGCAATTTTATGGTTCAATAAATAAATTCAATATTTTTCAAAACACATTTTACAGAACAAAATTAAAAAATGGGGTGATTTTTTGGTTCAGCAAATAAAACATTTTTTAACAATGGAAAAACAACTGTACGATTTTCTGATAATAACACAAATTATTAATTAATTACTGTTGAATCTCTATTAAATAAAATATTTTTAGATCGTTTAGCAATCTTGCAACTACGTATACGAATACGAATACTTTATTAATGTTACCATCACAGATGATTTACATACGTCAATTCAAGTGGGAATAAAATAACATATACTTAAAATGCACCTGGTACATTATAATTAAAATACAAATATTCATCAAAAGAATAAAAGGTAAATGAAATTTAAATTAATTAAAAATCGTCTGACTGTTTGTTTATACATTTCAAATGGTAAATTACGAACAGCATTTAGAAGCGCATTAAAAAACTTAACAATAATTTGGATCAGTTTGACACCTCTCTAAGCGGCAGTAGGTAATAACCACGTTGTCCCGACCCCTGGTTTGATGGTCATGCAATTCCTTATAAGTGGTACATAGATGCGGATTTTTCTTTATAAATAATAGATTTTCTAAGATAAACAACGAGGGCAATGTAAAAATTTCCAAGTCTCGAAAGGCGATAACCAAGTCCACTAATAATTCGAATTGCTTTTCGGTGTAATCTGGACAAACGGTGCCTACCAGCAGCATGGCCCCATATTAAGAACGCATATAGGAGGTGTGAAAAAGTGCAAAATATGCAGTCCTTAACACACCAGGAGAGACATTTTCGGTGAAGCGTCGAAGCAAGTACAAACTTTTGGTCAGTTTCTGAGCAACAAAACCTATATGGGAGTCCCACTGAAGTTTTGGGTCAATACAGATGGCAAGAAATCTGGTATTTATTTTATTAAAATTAAATGTACTTAAATTTCGTATGGAAAAACCACTCGCTCTGTTTTATCATTATTTAAAACTAATTTAATTGCACTGCGCCAACGTGTCACCTAATGAATCCCCAGAAACAGACACAGTGGTGTCATCAGCAAAAAGTGTGTAACCAGATGTAGGATCCACAAGGGGAAGGTTAGTTATATATATCAAAAATAATATGGGGTCCAAAATCGAGCCTTGGGGCATTCCAATGTTCACCTCAGTCTCCGCTGATGTCACTCCCGGTGATTGCATCTATTATTAAGGTAAGATTGCATCAAACTAAGACTGCTATTTGAAAAATTATAAGCCTTTAACTTGCGGAGAAGAATTCCACGATCGACATAGTCGAAGGGTTTAGTGAAATCACAAAATAATACAGTGTTATATTGCCAATTCTGGAATGCATTTGTAACGTCTGAAACTAAATTGAAAATGCCTGAAACAGTGTTTTTATTTCTTCTAAAATCAAACTGATTATTATAAAAAATGCCATTAATTTCAAAATATTGAACTAATTGTTTAGCTATACATTTCCAGATTAGTAGAGATATAGGTCGATAATTTTCGACAACATCAGCGTTCCAGCGTTCGCTAGCACGAGCGATGTCGGATGCAGACTGATGCGCTCCCGGCCGTAAGTCGTGCAGGGGAGGTGGCGGGGCATTTTAACGCATAACTGGTTGTGACTACCGGGGCTGTCCTTGTGTTCCTTAAGATGGGGTTCCAAATTGGTTTGAGCTGCAGCGTCTCTTGTTTTCTATTAAAATTATTTGTATGTTAATGGATTTCTATTGCTTCTCGTAGGGCACGATAGCCCGAAGTAGACGCAAGAAGCCTGGCTTGCCCAAAAAGGATGTTGTGATCCCCCTCACTGAGCGCGTGTTCCGCTACTGCCGATTTGTCCGTTTGTCCCAGTCTGCAGTTTCTTCGATGTTCCTTTATCCTGGTTGCGACAGATCTTTTTGAGGTTCCAACGTACACCTTTCAACACGTGCATGATATGCGGTAGACTCCGGCGGCTGACAGTGGTCCTCTCTTGTCCTTGGCTGATCTTAGCGTTTGTTGTATTTTCCTTGTTGGTTTAAATATTGTGTTAATATTATGCTTTTTCAATATTTTTCCGATCCTGTCTGTCACTCGAGAAATAAAAGGTAGATAAGCACTCGCAACCGTTAGTTGTTCACCCGGGTCTTGTCGTGAGGCAGTTCTGGGCCTCATAGCCTTATCGATATCAGATATCCTGTATCCATTTGATTGGAAGACTTCTTTGAGGTGACCTAGTTCTGTTTCCAGGTGTTGTGGATCACAGATACTCCGGGCACGTTCTGTTAAGGTTGTAATGATTGCTCTTTTTTGGCTTGGTTGATGGTTGGATAAGGCATGTAGGTACGTGTCTGTGTGTGCATAAATACAACTTACGGCCGGGAGCGCGTCAGTCTGCATCCAACATCGGAGATGGAAGCACCTCAGAAGAAGCTAGCCGCTCGCGCTAGCGAAACGTCAGGAAGAAATTCCACTCAACGACGGCCATTAAGCCCGAACAAAAACACTTACAGTTCAAACGCTGGCCGCGAAAGCCTTAACCACTTAACATCAGGGTTACCTTTTTAGCAACTAGCAAAATATTTATATTAATTAGTTTTATTAATGAAATTAAATAACAGAATAATAATAAAAATTTAATATATTATTATTATAATTATTATTCTACCATTAAATATTTTTCAACAATATAAAAATAGTACAACAATAAGCATGAAACCTTTCGGTTTATTAAATAAAATAGTTTTTAACAATGAAAAAAACAATAATAGGATTTTCCAATATTAAAACGGGACTTACGTGGGTGGGACTCGCGTTCAGTTTTGGGAAGTTGATGGTTCCCGGTTTCAGTTGTAGCGTCGACGGTTTGGATGGCGTCGGCGGCAGCCGTCGTCCCGGGCCCCTCCTGCTCCCCAGCACCGGGTGACTGTGCTGCACGCTGCCCTGCTGCGCAGCCGAATGCTGCATCGGTATACCTGCCACAGCACCGGCTGTAAAACGTGCAAGGGGGGGAAAACGCCCTCGTTGGGGTGCCTGGTTAGTAACTTGGTAGGTGCACATCGAAGGTGTGGAGGCAGGGAGGAGAAAATGGGATGACATGTTAATTTTTTAATAAGTTAATCAATAATGTACAGGGTGGTCGAAATTGGAGTGTTTTAACAAGAAACCCCTATTCCTGAACGAGATGGAGCAAAATTGACTTGATATAGAGCGGTTTTCAATTTGGGCCTTTTTGGAAATTGCTCATAACTTTTTTTATTTACGAAAACTTTGGATTCCGATTATTAGGTCATTTTTAAGGCAAATGCATTGGCGTACTCAAATTTTTACTACAGTTCTCCTTTTCCTTATAAATGAATACAAATGAGTTATTTTATGGGGCAATCACAGTTAGTTATGGTCTTAAATAAATGCCAACATTAGTGAATGTAGCTGTCAATGTCAGTTAAGGACATAACTTTTATCCTTTACTGAATTTTGTGTTCTGTCACATATAATTGTGGCTAAACTACAGCTTTATTTAAAATGTACCAAAATTATGATATGACAAAGTGTTACATTTTGCCAAACGAAAACGCAGAGGCAGCCAATGAACTTTATTTCAGTGCATATCCAGAGCGGCACCGACCAGACCAATTATGGAAGTCCCAAAAAGTCAAGGCAAGGGTCAAAAGTACTTAAATGAAGAGGGGGAAATACAACCAATAAATTAAGTATAATCAGAGAAAATCCAAACATATCTTCATAACGCAACAAATGCTGGAAAAACTAAAGTTTTGACTACTTTAAAACAAGCATAAATTCAAGCCATATCGTGACAGAAAAGACCACTAATTACATGAAAAATACAGTTTTGCAGCTGGCTTACTAGAAAATGCAATGGAGACATGCTGTAGTGATTCAAAATGGGCAAGGTCGCTTTGGATTCAATGTATGGCTAGGAACTTTCCGAGCTAGATAGTACGTCTTGCCTGAGATGGACTATAACGAGTATTTGTGGAAACTTGAAACTTTTATTTGAAACGTAAATGGGTCGTCTTAAATTTGATGAAGCATTGATGCTAGGACGGTCCTGGAATGGTTACGGATAAGGGTCTGCGGTTTTGGAGTAATAAACAGTAGGCAATTTGTGCACGGGGTCGGTTGTAAAAACACACTATTTCTGGTCATGGTATACCAGAATACATATTATAGTTTAAGCTTTTAATAGTTTAAGTTTTTAAGAAAAACGGTGTTCAAAATATAAGTAAAATTACCATCCTGCCATGGCATTCGAAAAAAGTTAACAAGGAACTTTGTTCGCTCCCTCGCGGGTCGAGCATAGCGGGACCGGGTGGTGGTGAGTGGGGATGGTTAAGAGAAACTACGACACCGAATTACCTATAAATGGCGGCCCTTGGTGCCGGGCCACCGGGTGCGTCGGACTAGGCGATCGCGACCTCTGGCACAAGCTGGTGGTCCCGTACGCGCCGCCCCCCCTCCTACTCGTCCTCGGGGGGCCGTAGCGCGAGTTGTGACGATGGGAGGCGGCCATGCCGCCCCCGTCCGTGGGCGAAGGCGACCTCGCGGGACTCGTCGACGCCGACCATGAACCTAGGGCAGAAAATTCTTGAGGACACTTTGGCGGCGGCCCACCGACGCCCCGGCCCGCGCGTCGCCCCTCTTCACTTACCTCGAGGCAACCGCTTGCCAGACATCCTCTGGTGTTCGTGCTTGACGATCTCCACCACGTTCGACACCGTGTCCGAGAAGCCGATGTCGTGGTGGAGGTATCCGTGAGGGTACCGTTTGCGGGGCGACGGGCTGCGTTGCAGAGACGGAGAGTTGCCCCTCCTGGAAATGTCAAACGCGTTCCAAATGTTTGGATGGTGTTTATTGTGTTAGATATACAGGGTGTAACGAAATTAGACGTCAATATTTTAACCACGTATTCTGTGACCAAAAGTTCATATAAACTGGGGTCCAAAACGTCTTAGTTTTTAACATACAGAGTGTTAAATTTGAAGAGATGATGGCGATTTTCTGTAAATATTTTCGAAACACTTAAATATTTGTAAATCAAATTTGGTACAGTTACTAAACTTCTTAGGCTTTATTTAACGAACTAAAACTTAGTATTGCATTGACGTCAGGGGTGGGTAACACAGGAGGGGCCTGGGAAATATTTTCGAAACACTTAAATATTTTTAAATAAAATTTGGTACAGTAACTAAACTGCATTTATTTAACGAACTAAAACTTCGTGTTGGATTGCCTTCAGGGGTGGACAACACAGGGGAGGAGTGAGAAAAATTTTAACGGCAGAATTTGAAAATTTGCAGTTTTCTACGTAAATAATAAAAAAAAAATAAATAAAAAAATTATAATACATTTCAATAAAAATAAAGAGGACATTCAATTTGAAATAACAAAATTAAAAATAAAAGTGGTAAATCTGACAACATTGCTATTAGCATTTTTAAATTCAGCATGTTCAAATAACCGGAGAGATCGAATTGAGATATTTAAGCGTTTCAATACAAGTGTTGATATTTGTGTAACATTTTTTTGATTTAACATGGAACACCCTGTATATTAAATAATTCTTAAATTTTTATGAAAACTCTAGACACATTTTATATACAATATCCTATACCTATGTTCTACCGTTTCTGACATGTTTTGAATTTAATGTCAAAAATAACCCTTGCGGGTCTAAATATATCTATCAATTTCTTCGACTAAGAGACTTTTTAATGGATTTGATGCTGACTTCTCTTAACGACATTTTCAAATTAAGTAAAAACCTGGAGATCAAAACGGAAAACTAAAAATTTTAATGTATTAAATCGTTGCATTTGGCATTTAAAAAAGGAAGCGCATTTTCAAAAGGTTAAAAAATTATGTAGGTACGTATATATTTTTATTTTATATAAAAATAATAACTAATAATAATAATAATAATAATAACACTAATAGAGGTACTAAAAAACGAAAGAAACTAACCTACCTAAACTAAAAACGTATCTATCTAAATAAACTTTACAACATACAAGAAAAAATACAAATGTACTTTATTCTTTTTGTTTGATTCTTTTTTCTCAATACAAAATTCATATTCTCGGTGTGCTTCTCAAGCTTCCAGGACGGTTGCAAAAAAATTGTAACAATTTTAGCGGCACAATGTGCTTCAGAATAAGTTGGTACCTCGTCCTGTCGAACATCATCGTCGCTTTCGTTACGAGAGCTTTGAGGATCATTTGGCTGTAAAACTTCAGTTATAATATCGTTATCCATTAATAACTTCGTTATTATTAAATTATTATCAACAGTTGGGAAGCTATCCAGCTCAGGAAGATACATTTCAATGTTGGTTATCTGTTGGCCGCCATTGCGCAACCAATTACGTAGGGGAACCTCGCAGTCATCGTCTTCATTATTTTTGTACTTCTCGAACCACTGAATCAGAGGTAAGACATCGTCTGAATCAAACTCATCTTCCGATTTTATCAAACCTGCGTGTCGCAAGCAGTTTGAAACAGTGGTTGAAGTATTTTATGGAGTCTCGGATAGTGATGTTAAAAGGTTTCTTATTTTCAAATTACTGGATCAAACGATACAAAAAATATCTGCGGTAATATGTCTTAAGGCATTTTATTATGCCCTCATCCATTGGTTGGACGACTGAGGTGCTATTTGGAGGAAAAAACCCTAATCTGATATTTGAAAGGATTAGATTTTTTGGATGAGTTGCACAATTGTCAACCAGAAGCAATATTTTTCTATTCTGACGTTCTAGTTTTTCACCCCCATTTATTAAATAATTATAAAAAATTGCTGAAATCATCCACCCAAACACTCTTCTCCTCTAAATTTAAGGGTACCCGATCTGGAATCTTATAAAATAGGTCAGTCTCATCACCATCGAAAACATCCTCAGAGCTGCAATTTTGTGCAATACTGGGCCAATTATCTACTAACCAGTTCAGCACAGCTTCTTTGTTAACATCTCGTGCTAAAATCCTAACCCGGTAATCACCTGGCTAATTCTTCGGCTTTCGATTTCAGAACTGGACCACTTATTGCAATATTTTCGGATCTTCGTACTCGAAACCATCGTAACATCTGAACGTACAAGATTCCTAATTTTTTTAAATCCTGTTGATCTTGATCTTTTCGTGATTGTAGATATTGTTGTTTTTGCCAATTTCTTTTGTCTAGCAATTTCCGCCTTACCGATGCCACTCTCAATACTTCTGATAATCTCTATCTATTCTTTTACAGTTAAAGACTTGCGAATTTTGCGTAGTTTAGGCAGAAATTGAAATGATGTTTTTTTTTTCATATTTTGAATGCCCCATATTACATTGTGTTGTTATGCTACTGATCCAGGCATTGTAACTAACCAAAATTTAACCACAGACTAAGGAGATGATTACGTCACTTGTTGGCAATATTAGCTATTTTTTTAATAGATAAATTTTAAAGATATAATACTACATACTTTTTACATCTCCAGTAGACTGTATTGCGAAAACAATGTGTTTTATCGAAATAAATGTGGTATTTAAAAATATTCACTGTGTCATAATCTTTCAAAGAAAGTAACTATATCCTTTTTTTATTAATATTAAAAAACTATTATCTAAAACATATATAAAATTTAAAAATCGTTTACCTGATGCTGGGACTTCTGCGGTGTGCATTGGCGTAACCAGCGGGATGAAGATGCTGGTGCTGCTCGCCAGCGCTATCACAAGAAGGTCTCCTGGAACCCAGAACATCCTGCAGCTCCGTCATCTGCGTGGGCGTGGCCGAAAAAAGAAAACAAACGCAGATGAGCGACGCCTGGCGAACGACTACGGTGGAGAGCGATGATCGACTAAAAAATCTATTCTATGGCGTGTCACACCACCATCGCGGGAAATAGAGAGACGACTAACTCCGAAGAGAAAAAATCTAAAGAGCAAACGACCTCATTCATAAGACAGGTCCCGTTAATCAAGATGGTAAAAATGCAACAAATTCCAATAATTGAAATAAATAAAGCATGCACACAATAAATCGTAAACAATGTAGAAGGAGAACGTTAGTATAAAACATGCAGAAGGTGCTCGGAACAGATGAATAAGAAAAGAAAAACAAACGTTTTTCTTCTAATGTGATTGTGTGTGTGTGTTTGTGGTTGGGTTTTGGCGACGACAGTTTGACTGTTGAAGGAACGTTTTGGTTCCGGTGGGGCACAATAATTGCATTTTTTTTGTTTTAATTGTTTTAAACTTCCCTGTTGGGAAAACGCGTCGTCAAAAGCCAACCGGTATACCCGACGCGTCATTGTTCTATCTTCAACTCTGTGATCGAGACACGCAGTTGCCAACATGCTGGCGTCGTACAAACGTATAAATCTAAAATGCTCTAAGAGAGTTTGCAGTTTGTACATATATAGAGTGCCAAGTATTGCTCAAAGAACCAACACATATATATCGATATCAAAAACGGCACTTGTCTATTTCGCTAAGTTTGGAGTACCTTCTATCACTTGTTCTAAGACTATAACATCAATTTTCTGCATCTGTAAAAATGAACGTCGTACAAGTAAATTATCTATCGTCTTGCGTCACACGTCTCGAGTTTTTTTTTCGCTTATTTTTTTGCTTTCGCCTAAACTGATCTAAGCTAATGAAACAATTATTTACCGCCAAATCTGAGTAACTGTTCACCTTTTGTTTCCTGTAAATAAAAAAAATGGCGTCAATTAACTAAGCAAACAAACATTACGTCTCAGAATAAACACCACACAGAGGCGACAAAGAGCGGTTGATTACGTCAAACAATTAATTATATAACACATCATTTCTACGTTTTTTATTATTTTAAACCAAATCTCGCTTCTGTATTGCGTAAATTCCGAGGTACCGTCCAATCCACCTCTACCCAACATTATATCCAATCTATTAAAAATGTACCAATTCTACGCGTGTTTATAAAATAACCCAATTTTATGACGAAACCTCCCGGAACGCCACTGAATTTGCTAACTTAAATAAAGGACGGAGTCATCCCCAAAATAAGCCAGACTAACTGAAACTAGTGTTGATATGTTAGAATATTAGTTTTGGTTCGTTATGTTCTGAACTTATAACCTAATCTCAATTCTTTAACACGCGAATCGCGCCCACATTAACCTATTTGGTGCCTAGCATTTATTTGCTTTTGTGCTTAGAGACTATCATCATAGTACGAAAAAGTAGCCATTTAGTTACGTCTTGTTGGTTAGATGATATATGCCCTCAAGGCGTCGCAAACAAAGGCAAAAGCGATCTAGGATTGTTGGGATTTTAGCTTCATAAAAGGATTTCTATCATCAGTTTTCTATTTTAAGGTCTTTGAACTAACAAGAGTTGGAGGAAATTCTGTGAGAATTATGTCTAGACAGCGATCAAATTGCTGTTTTCTTTTCATGAGACTGAATTAAAGGGAAGGAAACATTGTTAAAGCTGGCTAGAATTCTTTTAGGTATATACTTATCATATCTTATGCAACTGAATGCAACTGTAACCGAAATCATACGTATTAGAGTACTGGCTTGTTAAAGCTAAAGAAAGAATAGCAAGAAAAGAAAAAATAAAAGCTTGAATCTAATGTGTATTAAACTTAGTTTTAGATCTGAGAAATTCAAGAGATTAGAATGTATGTTAAATGGATTTTTTTTTTGACATAAAAACTACAGAAGTTAATTTTAAACTGTGATATTGTTTTAAACGTTTGAATGTTTTTGGGTATATCTTTCAATAGCACCTTATCATGGGAAAATCATGTAAATAATGTGGTAGATAAGGTAAATAATGTGATACATAGTCTTAGAGTATTAGGTAGGTATATTCCATGAGAAGTGAAAAAAATGCTTTATCGCAGTAATTTTGAGACACATATGTTGTTGTATATGGAAATTGCAGAGACATAGAAAGAATTTTTCAAAAGAGAGCCCTGCGAACTATTTTGCAGTCGCACTTTCGAGAGTCATGTACGAGAAAATTTAAGGAAAATAAAATTTTAACAAGAACCATGAATTATCCCAGGCACAGATTGACTATGAGTGAGAAGGGTGCGTATTATCAGTATGTTAGGTGTTATAATAGTTTAGAGACTTAACTAGAAATAGAAGCAAATAGTGTAGAAGAATACTATAAATTTATTCAAAATACCACTGTAAATGACATTTAACATACATATTTCAATGTAATTATGCTTTGAAATAAAGATGGTTTATTACTATAATTATTATTATTTATATTATCATTATTAACACAGTAGTTAGCAGAAGCAGATTTTTTTATAGGTATATAATTAAAGATTAAAGATGTATGTTTACCTGCTGTTTTTCGTTTCTCACGTTAACACTCGCGTTTAAAAAAAATAAACTGAAACTTTTTCTGCAACGAAACAAATTCATACACGAAAAGCATCTGTCAAAAGAACTCAGTTATTCAACCTACGATCTTATTAAAATATACGTTTTGGATATAACGTCGGGGAATTTGATTACCACTTTGAAATCAGCACTCACCTCAACGACCTGTTTCGCTTGGTGTTGCGCCTGGCGAGTGAAACGAGCGAACTCTCCTCATGTAAGTGGTGCGGCTCGGAGCTATCCTGGGCCGCCATGAGCGGCGCTCCCTCTAAACTGATAGAGCCGGCGCGGGAGCCACCCAGGTGGCCCGCCATCGTATCCATAAGGCAATCGAAAAATGAAGATTTCTGGTTTGCCGGACACAACACAGAAGAACCATTTTTACTATTACTCAACGCGACGTCATTTTGTTTTTTTTTTTTGTAAAAATTACTCTCTCCGCCATGAGATTGCACGAACAAATACCTACGCCCTCGTCCCTTAGCGATATATTTACGTTACAAAAATAAAAGAAAAAACGAAACGCTACTGAATTCGGGAACGCCATATACCATAAACTTGCTACTGTGTTGCGTGTAGTCGGATAGGGGCGGGCATGGCTAAGTATTTAAATGGGATATAAAACGCCGTCCACCGTCTGTCCAGTGTACCGGGAGAAGGTGCGAATTTACTAGAAATGACGATAAAAGTCATGGCGATTCTATTTCATGTTAACGATAAAGGTTATATTGGCTAAATAAAAATTATTGTTAATAAACTGTATCCTGGTTCTTCAAATTGCTAAGTTAACAAGACACTGCTAAGCAACCAGCAATACTGATATTTCTGTGTTATTTGATTAAGAAAGTGCTTAGCGGCTTATATGGCCATTTTTGTAACCTGTAGAGCAACTAGTAGATTGAAAAAACGATACCAAAGTGATCTTCTGGATTCCCCCTGCATCGGTTTTTGTTGAGTCGAACTTGCTAAAGTTTCGCCAATCATCCTGTTAAGCTTGACTGAAACTGGCAAGCATTTTACTCTGTACCTGCTTATATATTTCTCGAGGGGGGCGGCATATTGGTGACCTGAGTGACCTGAGTGGCGGTTAAGATCGTTAGGTTGCTTATAGGTTTCTATAGACTCTCGGATTTTTCATTGGTAAAAGAATTGATGACATTCAAGAATTTTTAATTAAGTACGAAATTATCAGTTTTGGTTAGTATCGTCTATTTCCTTACGGATATGATAAATTATTTCTCAAAGTAAAGCGAAACTAGATTTTCGAAGAATTTTATAAGACGATGAGGTGTTGACATGATGGGATATTTTAAAAAAATTGGATAACGTTATGGTCTCTACAACGTAACAAAAAGGTCAGGATCTTCTACCTTACTGCTTTTGCGTTTGATGTCCTCTCCATAAACGCTTGTCAATTTTTCAAAGAAACTTCCACAGGCTACTGTGCGATGATTGGCGAAACGTTAGCAAGTTTGACTCTACAAAAAGGAATCCAGAAGTTTTGTGATAAGTAAACTTTCTCTTTATTTACAGGTTACTCGAGAAAAAATAGGTATTTTCGATGCTACATCAATTTTTATTGTCAGGATGGGTACTAGATCACAAGCATGTGAACATTTAATTATCGATATTCAGTCAACCTGTAGTAAGTAGAATTATTACAGTAGAAAATACTTGTGTTGGTCACGACTACCAGGATCATTCTACCAAACACTAAGGTTACGTTTCAGTTGATATTGTTAATGTAGAAACAGAAAAATAAATATTTTCTAACTTTTTAAGTGTTAATTTTCACCTAAGAAGGCCTACACCTAAAATTGACGTAAAAGTTTTCGTTTTGTCTTTCGAATACGACCGAATTTATTTTTTGCGACCCGCAAAACTGGACGATGGCGGGGGTGTCGGCGCCGGTAGGTGTGTACGTGTAAAAAGGTTTGCCAAAAAGTACACAGCGAGCATGCTCAAATGTTAAGTAGTACCTAAGTAAAAACAAAATCGCCGTACTGCGATCAAAAATACTATATATACGCATGCAGCATAGATAAAAAGTGAAATAAAGGAAGTCTTCACTACCCAACATCGATCAACGGCCGAGGCGTATAATACGGAACAAGTTCTAACATAACGTTAAAGGTTTAACTAGAGGAAATACGTGTAAAAAAACTTGCACATAACAGAGAGATGCAAAATGTTAAGAAAAAACTGTTTGCAATATAAAATAATAACAGAAAAGTGACGCCGGATTTGAAACCGTCAAGGCGCCCTCCATGGGCGGGCACTAAAACTCCGCCCCCTTCGCGCCCGGCAGAGGACGCCCTGACCCAAGGTCAGCTCTACACAGGGCGGGGCCCGTTAAGACGGTGCGCGAGGGGTGGTATTTCGAACAAATATTATTTGAATTTCGTTGATATAGTTAAATTCGGTTCCAAAATCACTACAACTATTATTATAATGCAAGGTTTGCACGTTTTAAACATAGGAGACTTTTTTAAATGTAGTAAATACTCTATTAATTTTATTTTTAGTATTTCGAAATACTATCCCGTTTGCTCGCGTCGATCGGTATATCCAGCCTGTGCGGACGAAACGGCATAGCCACACAAGTAGAGTAACAAAACATAGCCGCTCTAAGAACGTTACTCTCTAACTACGGCAGGAACTGTACTATGAATGAGAATTTCCCAAGTACCAAAAAATAAAGGTCGCTCGCTAGATTCAAAAATCGAAAAAAAAAGAACGAAAAACAAAAGAACAACTGCCAAAACGAAAAAACAACGCAATAGTGAAAAACGAACAAGTAACGTGGGACTTAAAAAAAGTAATTTTGGTCATACTACCGCAATGTTTGCAGACGGACTATTGCCGAAACCCTGAAAGGAACGATACAGTTTAAGTGTCTGTTTTTCGTTTCGATGCGCCTCTGCTCGCCTTGTTTTTTCATCTGTCTGTATTTGTGCAAAAGTTTTCTCATTTATAATACTGGACGTGTCGCGGGACAGAATTTTCAGCGTGACATTCTGGCCCGCGCACCGCATTTAATTAGACATCGATTCTTAGGGGGTGGGGACGATAGATGGGGTAGAGACGAGAAGAAGGGGAAACGGGGAGGTCAACTGGCTACGCAAGTGTAATACATAGAGGGAGTTCTCTACGGCTAACTATACGCGAGGGCGCGACGAAAAGTTCTCGGCCTGACGCATAGATGGAGCTTAAATTCTAAAATTTTCGGCTAAGTTTAAAGTGACGTCACGTTTTTGTTTGTTTTTTTGTTTAACGGCTTCTATTTTACGGAACTAATAGTAAGATTTATGTAGAAGGGTGTAGAGTATTAAAACGGGGAATAAACTTTGTGCAATAAAATATCCTTCAATCCCTAGTATTAATGTGGTACTTTGGAAGAACAAGTGCATTCAATATGGCATTTTTCCAGATACTTTAAAAATTACTGGAGTTATTCCAATCTTTCAGAGCGGTGACATTAACAATCCCGGAGACTATCGCCCCATATCCATAGTGCCACATATCGGTAAGATATTTGGAAGGGTTATAAAACCACAAATAGTTAATTTTTTTGAGCAGCAGGATATCTTTAGGAATGAGCAGTTTGCATTTAGGGAGCGATAAGTAAGGTTGTGGGTCTTGAGACTGGAAACCGGGTGGGGTAGACGTTGTGTGACCTTAGCAAGACCTTCGACTGTATCTCGCACGATCTTCTTAAACAGAAGCTGTTTAGGTATAGATTTCGCGGCGGGACCCTTAACCTAACAGAATCTTATTTACTAGACAGGAAACAGTTTGTGGGCGATGACAGACGTAAACCCTCTTTGGTGGAGATCTCCAGTGGGGTCCCCCAAGGGTCCATACTGGGCCCTGTATTTTTTATAGTGTATGTTGCTGATCTATGCCGTTTTTTGGGGTCCGTCAAATGTGCTTCATTTGCGGACGATGCCAGTTTTATCTTATATGGTCTGAATTGGAATGACCTACGCAACATTATTGGGCAACTGGAGAGCAATGCGAATAAAATAAAAATAATTTTTTCAAATTGACTACGGACAAAACTCAAAAAATATTCTTTTCGCTAGATAAATACAACAACGGCGAACGGCAGTCACACTTGAAGATCATATTTTATCTCTTAAGCGAAAACTTCCAGCTTATTCGTTCTTAGAAAAATGAGGGAGAGCCTAGACCTAAATGTCCTAATGACAGTGTATTATGCTTTATTTCATTCCCACATACCATATGGCACAATATTATGGGGAAACTCTGTCAATGCGGTTCAAATATTCAGGATGCAGAAAAAGCCTATAATTCTTGCTGGGGCGAAGCACAATGAACACTGTACTCCATATTTTAATGACACTGCTCTGTATCTATATTTTCCGTGATCTTTTGGAAATTCACAAAGATACTAATATATTTGAAGGTGTGTCTCATAGTTATCCAACACGTGCAAAAAATCTTATAAGAGTTTCCAAACACAGACTTGTTATATCACACAAAAATTCTTTAAACATTAACTTGTACAATATACTGTCAGATAGGTACAGACATATGGCTTTGTGTGTTCAAAACAAATATTAAGGTGTTGCTTTTTTAAAATTGTTTCTATAGTGTGGACGAGTATTCCATCAAAATAAAAAAAATAAATTAAAATCCTTGGCTTATTGAAATAGGTTTTTTTTTTACATTTTTATACTTTTTACATTTTGTATTTGTATTTTACCTTATATTGACAGACTGCAATTGTATTATTATTGTATAATATGTGGTTAACAAAAATTCTTCTTCTTCTTGTTTGGATGTTTTTGAAGACTATTGCGGTGAAATAATAAAATATTTTCCGCCTGATTCAGTAATAGTTATTAATAACACAAGCTATCATTCACGATTTGAATTGAATTTGAAGATAATTTGAGAAATCAATTTCCACAAAGATACGAAAAACATAGTGTGTAACGCCGCCATATCGTGGCGAACCAATGAAAGGATTTGCAGCATGGCACATCATAGTATTCAAAATAAAATACATTAGCCTACTATTTGATCAAGCCATTAAGGAATGACCACTGAATGAATACTATGATTTTTTTATAATTTCATTTATATATATTTTCCTATATTGTTTAATGAAACCAAGGGTACAATACTTGTACATAATTCTCAAATTATATATAAGTGACATCTATTCGATTACAGGACTAAATAGTGAATATCCATTCGACACAAACTTATTTGTGGAAGGTACGGATATTACTCAGGTTCTGAACAATGGTAGTAAGTTGTCTGGAAAAGCCGACAGTTGGTTTAAAGAAAACAAATTAATTTTAAATAAAACATATGTCACACGCTATGTTGTTTCGAACAAAACAGTCTAAATTGCACAAACCACTCTATTTGAAATGTGATAAGCATATTATTAATATAGTAGATAGTATAAAGTTTTAGGAGTAAATATAGATGAATTTGTGCACTGGAATGGGCATACTGAGAGTTTAATAAAACGGTTAAATTCTGTTTGTTATGGAATTAGAGTAGTTAGAAGGTACATGCACCGCAATACAACAAAAATTTTATATTTTGCCAATTTTCGGTCTATTTTAAAATATGGCATTATTTTTTGGGGAGGTCACAGCGCAGTACAAAGATTATCAGAAGAGAGTTATAAGGCTAATTAAAAAGATGAAGTGCGGAAATAGTTGTTCAGATGGAAGGTTTAACGGTGTCATTTTCTTTTTTAAAAGCCGGGAATGATACGTACAAACCTAGAACACGAAATGTAAATTACACAATACATAGATTAACTCTAACCGAGAAGAGTCCATACTATATGTGTAGAAGATTTTATAACAAATTGCCCAACAGTTGAAAAGAAATAAATAGAATTAGAACCCTACTCAATAAAAGACTATTTTGAGAAAATAATGTAACAATTTTTATATGTTATGGTTAATTGTACAGTATCGCTAGGTATTAGACCCGTTTCCGTTGTGTTTTGGTATTTTGTAATATACTAACACAATTCGAAATAAAGATTATTATTATTATTATTATATCCGTTGAGGTCACCATGCCAAATCAGGTTCAGAAACTTATTTTATGTCATTTTCACCCGGCTGACATTATGGCGAAAGTCGATCTTAGACTATTGAATAGAAAATTCTGGATAAATTTGAAAAATTTGACGGACTTAAGAAATCCGTAAATACAAAAACCTGTTTCATTGTCAAAAATTTACCATTGATGACGTCACTTTAAGTTTTTCGTAAATCCGCAAGTAAAAAAAAAATGTATTTTATTATCGGGCCGACGATCCTTCCCGCCTTTCGCTACAAGTCCCGCGTCACGATCGTCGTAGAGAATTCGAAATCCACGACGGTTCGCCGTAATCGGCACGCCCCCAACACGTGACCAATTAGAATTGTTGAAATTTTCAAAACCGTCTCCGTTTTGCAAATCGTCCCGACGAAACGACATGGACTTCTTTCTATCTAAAAACTACACCCGCACACACCGGCCAAAAACGCACACAAATCAGTCCACAACACTACAAGGGGGGCGGGAGCGGCAGGGGGAACGAGAGGGAGGGGGCGTGGCCGGTAGAGGGGTGACGAGGGGACCATTAACATCGAACAATCCTCTAAAAGTCGCGGAAGATAGCGAATCTGATTCGATAAGTAAAATAATAACAACAGAGTCATATAAGTATTCCGAGTTTCGAAAATGGCGAACGCGTTGCTTTTTTATGGAGGGGCGGCTTACCGTCAGGCCGCCGGCGGGTTCGATCTGCCCGAACCTGGTGCTGCGCCAACTCTCGAGGATGAGGAGGCCGCCGTAAATCTTGCCCACCGTGAGCCTTCCCTGGTTGAGCTGCTCGTTCGGCGGCACCAATAGGTCCACCATGTTTTTCGCCTGCAGCGGCCAAATGTTCTTAATCGTTTCGCGTAGTTCATCATCCGCTCGGTCCATTTCTTCGGCTAAACAGACCAACCGTCTTATGACACTGGCGACACGTCAACAACCCCTCAACTATATCCCGAAATAAGTCCCTTTTGCCAGAAAGTGGTACAGCACACTCGACCTTGTTCGGGTTCGGCTATGCAATATGCTGCGGCACATCAATCCAAACAAGGACGAGCTTGCGGTGCGGCTATCTGGCTAAAAAATCTTGTACGGGACATCCCTTCACAGAGCTTATTGAAGAATTTCTTATATGCAGTAAGTTTCAGGCATGTATAGAATGTAAATAAAATGCAGAATTTAGTGTCAAACGTAACAATTAAAGTCTATTACAAAAAAATTCAGATGTTGAATATGTGTTGAAGAAGAAAGGTGGGGTTCATGATTTCTAAGCTCTTTGGTCCCATAAATGTTCTGGACTGCCCGGAGGCCAATCCAAAGTTACATTTAAATAATTTTGTCCTATCATTGCATAATGTGGTCTGACATTATAAAACTCCTCCCGTAATCTCAACAAAGTTAGCGACGTGACTAAAGACAGAAAAGATGCTATGATGCTAGACAAACATCTAACGCGTTTTCATGTGACGTCACATTTAAAGCGGTTAAGGTGAACTTTAAGAGAAAATTAGAAAATGGTTTCTAATGTTTTTTCCAAATTTAAAATTCATATGAAGCAAACTTTATACCAGCTCGCATTTTGATTGCCAGATTTTCGCGTATGAGAGCAAACAGGGTGGTGGTGAAGTTCACTTTGCCTTCGTCATCGACCGGCATGTTCATCCGGATCAGTTTCTTGTACGCCAACCGATTGGGACATTTGTTGCCGAACCCTAAGGGCGGGTCCATGTTCTTCAGCATGTCGTACATTTCCGTAAAGTGGATCTTGCCGCTGGAATAGAACGCGCGTGCGCGCGATGACGTACGCGATCATTGTGCGTGTGCGCGCGTCGCGCTACTTACGTCGCGTTCGGGTCGTATTCGGCCCATATTCGCACAAACTCGTCGAGGTGATGCGCGCCCAGGATGGAAGAATCACGCGTCAAGTAGTCGAAGTTGTCCATGATGACGGCGACGAACAAGTTCAGCATCTGAAACGAAGAGAAGAAAGAGAGATTGGTCAGTTGGTTTAGTTTAGTCTACAATGGAATAGAAAAAGTTTGTTTCTAACTCAAATAACAAACTTACTGAGAAGAGTCCACGTGGGACGTTAAAATTTTGTAATTGAGAGCAACTACACTGAACGCTGTGCGAGGTCAAACAGAAAAACGATTCTGTTACTTTAATGTTGTACCCAAGACGTTTCTGTTACTTTACAAAACCTTTGCTGCTGGTTAATTTACGTTTTTGAATAATTTTTTATAGGATTCTCAAAAACGTTATTATAACACTTGATCCGTAACACCCTTATACATCTTCAAGCAGGTAACAAACATTTTACCAGCTACTATGACACCTAGACACGTTTGATGAACAGCTTCATCCTAACTTCTTTCGTTTGCACAATTTTAAACTAAGAACATGTCTTCCAGGAAAAGATAAATAAATCATATGTGAAAAGTGAGGTTATGAATGCATAATTGACATTTGGCATTTGGGTAACAATTGTGTACTAGACGTGCCGCCTTCACAAGGAAAACTCATAATAATTTTTCGTGCTGGGTCCAAAAATGGAAAATGCCTTTTTTTTTCTGCCAAGAACGTCAAAGTTTCAAGTGTGGATTGCCATGAAAACATGATTGCAGAAATATTTGAGGACTGGCTTGAAAATAAACTGTTGTCAAAACTATAGCCAAAGACTAATATGGTCTTGGATAATACCTTGTATCATTCAGCTCAAATTAGAAAAATTTTAAATACTTCTTCAAATAAAGAAGAATTTAAAGTTGAAAGGGCATACAGGAAGAAATAACACTGCAACAAAATTTGGTGATAGTACCATAAACGTAATTCGGCCAGAGGTAGCTAAAATATCAGTACAAAGCTGGTCTAACTGTGGAAAACTTGAACTTGAACTAGGTGACGACAGTATTAAAATTATGTTTAATATTTTGTATATTATTATTTGTAATTGTATATGTAGAAATGTAATGAAATAGAACGTAATATGTACATGCTTGAAGAATTACTCGTCGAAAAAGATTGAAAACTTGTTAGTGTACGTATGTGTGTACTGGAATGGTTATATTTCTGGTCCAAGTATACGAAGGTACCTAGTTGGTATAGGCTTTCTTGCAAGAGTAATATTGCTATAAGACAACAACAAATGAAGAAGTTTCCAAGGTGTTATATAAAACTTTAAAAAAAATTAAAAAGCGGAACTGCTGTGGTAGCCTTTTTCGAATTGATACCTTCATAAAAAGGAAGGATATCAAAATTTAAGTAATATTTTCTGAATTGCGTCGTCGTCAACAGACTCTAAACTATAGTCCGAATTTAGTCATGTATGCTGCTAACCGCAGCAACATTCCTGAACCATGAAGAAAAAAATATACGGAAGTTTTTGCCAACATTACCTTTTAAATTGTTCAAATGGGGTGCTTCAATTTTAGGAATTTTAGGAATTGTAAAATGATTTTTGAAAAAGGTGAAGGCTCGCTTTTTGTATAGTGTTTAGAAACATTGTAGTTGGGTTATAAAAGAGAAGTATTTTTATAGGACCTTTAAAAACATGGAGACCATAGCCTCTGTAGAAGTGACTAACTCACCAGAAACGAGCAGAAGAAAATAAACGAGACGAAATACATGTAGGCCAAGTTGGAACCGCACTCTTTGCCCTCCTTGCCCGTGTTGGGGTCACACTCCTGTCCCTTGACGCACGAGAGCATGATACTGGGCCAGTTCTCGCCGGTGGCGCACCTGAACAACAGCATCAGCCCCTGTATGAAGTTCCTGAAGTTGTTGTGGCGGTTGATCGAGTCGCTCGGCAGGTTGATGTTGCCGAATACCTGCGGCACAAATGTCTCGAACATCGGCTGACTTAGTACAATACAAATAAATGTTTATATTTTCATTTTAACATACTAGAAGTCTCTGGATGTACATTTGACTTTTGGATAAAATCTTGTTACTTTCAAAAATCGATGAAATCTGCGCTCGAATAAAAATTTTGTCTCTCGGTAAACGGTAGGTCCGTTCTCGTCGTTTGGTTTTTCTTGAATAACTTTCGAACCGTTGGAACTACAAAATTAAAATGTTCCTCGTTTTTAACCCTCTACGAGACACATAAGCCATTAAGAATTGGCCCTGATCCGATGCCGGTATCATCAGACGCGATGACCTCATTGATTATTACGGTCGATGTCGTCCTTGGACCGATGCCATTTCTTACAAGCTTATGCATCTCGTGGACGGTTAAAAAGGGGGCCAATTTCAGTTTTGTAGCTCCAAGGGTTCAAAAGATATTTACGAAAAACCAAAAGACGAGAACGGAGACCGAAGAATGGAGAACGGACAGACAAAAAAAATTTTTTTTTGACGCTGATCATTTCTGTACCGTTACCGAGAAATAAAATTTTTATACGAGCGTAGACACTTTCGAAAAATTCGATTTCTCGAAAGTAACAAGATTTTGTCCAAAAGTACCGATTTTAAAGATGCCGGTCCTTTTTTGAAGCCTTTTGGTTAAAGGTACATCCGGGGACTCTTACCATGTTAAAAAGGAAGTATGGTAACACCTCTTCCAGCTTTATAAAGATTTGTTCCACCTTCCTCATTACTAGCAACTTAGTTCTATTGTTCTAACTGGCGTGCTCCACTCACCTGCATCCCGATAATCGCGTAAATGAAAAACAACATTGCGATCAACAGGCAGACGTAGGGGAGCGCTTTGAAACTCTGGACGAACGTCCAGAGCAGAATGCGAATCGTATAGCCCTGGCGCAGTAGTTTAATGAGCCGGGCGGCGCGAAACAGCCTGAGGAAGCCGACGTTGATGAAGTTGTCCTGCAAGCCGGAAGGTGGCACATTTAGGTGGCCGTTCGACTAGCCCGAAGGGGATATTATTTTTCTCTAACGGACGTTTTCTAGAGCGCACTAATTGCCTCATTCTAAAAGTTAATTTCTAAGGAGATCTCTAAATATATATTTATTGAAACGGAGGAAAGTTCTATCGCAGTCTAAACTAAAAAAAACTAAGAGAGTTGTATGTACAAAACATCTGGTGTCTGTGTGTAGTACTATAGTGTCTTGGTGTGTGTGTGTGTCTCATTCAAGTGAAGTGGTACTTACCGGAATTGAGCAGGACACATACACCTTTTTCCCACACCCACAGGCGCGGTTCAGCCTGCATGCAGCATTCAACCCCCCCACCCCCCCATTTTTTTTTAAATTTATTTTTATTAAAGACACCAGTTGAATTCAGAGATTTTCGCGGGCTATGGACACATCATAACGCAGTTATTTGACGCGCGAAAATCAGAGAATACGAACCTTGAGCCATTTCCCGATAACGGCCGATAAAGTCATTTGATCCGGCTAGAAAAATCGGAAAACACAGTCAATTCAACTAGCGATAGACAACGCTAAACGGGTCGCTAAACTATAACTAAACTAATCGGCTAATAACACGTCTACGTCATGCCTAGTGGAAGACCAACCTTATAAAGGTACCGGTTAAATGCAACCTGGCCCGCGAATCGGACAAATCTGCCCCTAAACTATGGGTTCTGAGCGTAATTTTAATTAAAACGGGAACGGGTGCTAAATAGAATTCTGACTAAGTTCTGTTAGATCGCTATGACGCCGGGTCGGGGTGGCCCGACGACGGCCGATGGGACCGCGCGTCACGTGATCGGTCGACGTCTCGTTTTTAAGGCCTCTTAAAGATTGTTACGCAGCTGCCGAATTGCAACTTTCAAGAGCCAAAAATTAATTTCTTTCGCTATTTCGTTATTCCCTTTCCTATGGGGGAGTTTTTCGTAACGTGACGCGTGGTACCACTGCGGAACCCAGCGTCCGGGAACAGGTAGACAAAAGAATAGTAGTAGTACAGCAGATAAAAATCCGTTAGTAGTAAAACCGTTACTGGAAAAAAAATAATGTCAACGTACCCTGTCTTTCATTCGTTCGGCTCGTTCCTTGAAGCAAAACAGTTATTTAGTAACACACTCAGTAATAAGGTGGCAGGTCGGTAGCGCGTAGTGCGCGCAGCCGTTGCCGCGCACGACGCGCCCCCTAACCGCGGTGATGTGCAAAATATATCCGTATCGGATGGTAAACAAATAATAAACCAACATTCCAAAAACGAAAAAAAAAAGAAAAAATGTCGTAAAATGTTGCGTTCGGGGTGCACCGAGAGTGCGGGCGTTTTTGGTCCACAGCAGCAGCAGAACAGCGTTGCGAGAATATATATATAACGGTCTGAAATTTTATACCTTCCAAAACAGTCGGCCGTAAATCTGTGCGAATCTCGTGTCATATTGTGGTATCGGTTTGTAAATGGGGGACAGAAAACAAATCATAAATAAACGGACGTTATTTACACGTGAGCGTACGATACTTACACCGAACTCCACGACCATGGCGTCGACTATGCTCCCGATCACGGTGACGAAATCGAACGTGTTCCACGGGTCCTTGAAGAAGTTCTACATGGAAAAACGAAACGTGATGGATTAGTAAACGAGCAATCGCGTACGAGCCATTTCAATTCTAAAGCCCTCGCCTGTACTCCGCGAAACTCCTTTTCGTGCTGTGACGCGTCAAAGGAGTTTCGCCGCGCTTCTTAAACAACGACGTTTTGCATGCCGATTTTTTTCTACCGCTATAGCTTCCGCCCAAAGCAGCCGGGACGAGGGTACGTTATCGTCGGCGAAACTGCAATAAACCTAATCACGTGCACCCTCAACGTACGTTTCGTAATACTAGAAGCTTCGCAAGCGGAATTAGACTGTAAAAAAACCGGAGCAAACACTCGTAGAATCGTTTGGTTTTACACAATCTTACCGTCTATGACACTCATTTCTTTGCAAACCGACTCACTCTACTTACTCTACCGAAGTGTCTGAGATAAATCAAATGTTAAATTTAATTAAATCCAATGCTGCTTGGAAAAGAGTTACTTTCCTGATCTACGGAAAATATCAAACCACTGGCAAAAATACGTAATCCTAACTTAACCTAATAATTAGTGTTCTGTTTTGTATACTCAAATGTACGATTATTTTATAAATAATAATATCATTCCGACTGTGCAGTGCGGCTTCAGGTTCAGCTTCAGTACTTCAGTACATGAACTAATGTTGTTGACGACATAATCAGTGCATGTGACGAAAATATGGTCAACATACTGGGACTTTTCAAAGGCATTTAACACCATTAATCACAGTTATAAGTTAATAAGCGAGTTAAATTTTTATAATTTCTCCTCAGCATCGTGTAGCTTAATTAGATCATATCTATTAAACAGGTTTCAAAGAATATTCTCTAATAATACATTGCTCTTTTTAGTTTGAACTGCTGACATTTTGAACTCCGTTCTGTGCAGTAGAGTGCAAGCATTTGCTGATGACACTCAGCTCTATTGTTGTTTTTCGTATTACGTGTTATAAGTGATCTTTCTAGTGACCACAACCTCAAATTAAAAAAAAATAAAAAAGTAAAAACACAACTAAGCTTTAGTCAGTAGTTTTAACATTAAATAACACTAAATTAAAATTTGTAACTACTACGAAGAATCAGAAGGTTGTATTGGACACTCAGCTTCGGTTTAAGGAGCATTTAAAATCTAATTTCAAAAAAACCTACTGCGTCGGTTTTTGCTGAGTGGAACTTGCTTGCCAACGTTTCGGCAATCATCCTCCAGATTTTGACTGAAACTGTCATCAGAGACGGTGTTTATGCCCCTCATTTAACTGATTTAAAAAAATAATATACTAAGGGAGGAAAAAGTATGTTTAACGTTCTCTTTCTTCATTTTCCTTTCCCTTTGTTCCACTTTTTTCTTCCTGCTAGCAATGATTTGAGAAGTTAATTTTTCAAAGAAACTTCCACAGGCTACTGTAATACTTTTTATAAAACTTCTGAATACTTCCTGCGTCGACTCAGCAAAAACCAACGCAAGAGGAATCCAGAAGTTTTGTAAAAAGAAGTTTGAGAAGTTTTGCTAATGCTAACGAAAGAAGCATACACACGGGCGTCAACAATTCTACGAGTGTTTCTTCGACGACGGACCCTAGGCTATAGGAAAAACAGCAAACCGTTTACGTACCTTGAATCCGAACGCGATCAGCTTCAAGATCGTCTCGCAGAGAAAGAAAAACGTGAACAATATGTTCATCACCGCCAGTATATCCGAGAGTAAGGGCGGCGACTGATGGTACTACAATCAAAAACTTGAAAATGTAGCGCTACCACTACTCGTGGGGGAGGGGCGTGGGATGCGACGTTCGATTTCACGCGTCTCCGATCAGCGATAGTGTAACGTGTGACACGGGCTGCGCATGCGTCAATTCTACGCGAAGCACACAAAACTACGCGAAAGCATGCGAGCGAGATGAAACTTAATTATCGGACAGCTCGTCGACTCGTCGCGTCAAGATACTCCGCGTACAGGTCAGGCTTTTCGCTTGAAAATACACGTATTCGCTTTTGCTTTTTAAGGACGAAGGAAAAAACGAAACTCTAAGCGTCTGTCTCTACTGCGCACTCTATTGTAACCTTACCCTCACTCCGAATGCGAGTATCTTCAGGAAGCATTCGACAGTGAACATCCCAGTGAATCCCCAATTCAGATACCTTAGGATATCTTTGTACGTTTCGGTTTGATCTTTAAACTGTCAACACAGAAAGGCATTGCGTATTTCCATTGAAAGCACACACACAGAGACAATACCTAAACTTTCTACGCCTGACGTGTATAAACTAGTCCGACGCGTTCCGATTTACATTGTTTTTCGTCGTTTTTATTAGTAACGTACTACGTAGCATGCGCCCTAACCGAGACCGTCATATAACAAAGGACAACAAAAAATGACAGCCAACGAAAACAACACAAACGCGCCACACCCACTCACTGCTTAGTATTCGCGGCTGTTACACTAGTTGTGCATTTTGGCTTTTCAAGTTTCTGAAAGTTTAACTCGTCCCGAAGGGAAGTAGACAAATGGTTAATATAACGACTAGAAACTTGTAGCCAACAACGGCTTTCTAAGCATGTTGGCTTGGTGTTACGAAAATCCTTCTATAAGTTGTATATTCATAAACATTTTCTCAGTAAAGACGTCAAACTTCAACTCTGTGATATGTTAGTTTTATCCCGTGTCGCTTAATGCAGTATCGTTTACTAGCCAGTTATACTTAATCGAGATAAGGAGAGTGCCTCTCTGACTCAGGTTGACTCAAGCTGGAGGACCGATATAAAATTCAGTTAGTCACTTTTGTTTATTTACTTAACTTCAATGAGACTACGTCATTGTTTAAGATATTGCGTTCCTAAACACACTTCGGTAACTTTCCAGAGATCTTTTGGCTATAACGCAGTTAAATTATTATTATTATTAAGAACGTCGAGACTTCCCTTTGATACCGAGGAGATCCTCTGTCAACTCCTTTTGTTAAGAATTGGGTAACAGGTGCCCATCATTTAATCGCATGTAGGTTATATTAATCAGATAAATACTTGAAAAATGCTGGAGTGGTGTGAGGTAGACAGGGGTGTACGTGGTCAAACTCCAAGCGGAGATTTTTCAAGTCATTCAATTTTCTTCCTCCCGGGAGTTTGGCAATTACGCCCCTGCCTATATGGAACGAAAAATAAACAAAACCAAAGCGAAGAAAATAAAAACAGGTGTGTGACGTCACCGCCGCGAGTGTGCCCGCGGCCGTGCAGACGGTGTCGACGTAAGGGCGTGGCCGCTCTCTGCGTGAACACTTCCGACGAGTGCCGACTTTTTTTCCCGTCCTCCGGGGGTGTAAACGGAGACGCGCGGCTTCGTTCGCCTTACCTTCATCATCAGGAGCAGCGTGTTAAACACGATGAGCATCATGATGAAGTACTCGAACGGCGTAGACACGACGATCCGCCAGATTTTGTACTTGAGGCTGCTGCGCTTGCTGGGCATGTACCGTTCGAGCGGCCTGGCCTGTATGCAGAAGTCTATGCACGATTTCTGCGCAGAAAAAGGAACGATGTAAATGACGAACGCGCTAGATATTGCGTCATCATCGTCACCTGGTTCTTGTCGATCTCACCGCTCTGCAATTCGGCCTCGCCCTGCTCCTGGAATGTGATAATAATTAACGCAACGAAGATGTTGACGAAGAAGAACGGGAACACAACGAAGTAGACGATGTAGAAGATGGACATCTCGATACGGAAGTTCTGGATCGGGCCCTGGTCGCTGTACGTCGCCGCCATCGAATTCTGCAGCACCCTGAACAACACAACAAATGGTAGAATGTGGATGTGACGGGCTTAATCCGGTAGCCAAATTTTCTAAGCGCGAGGCACTGTTTTTATTCCGCGCTCCCTGAATAGGTTGATTCGACGGAACGAACAATCTTTTCCAGCTCTCTTCGAATAAGGTCCAACTAGCAAATTGGTAGAGAAGACTGCTGCATGGAATTTTATGCAAATTGACGAGATTAATATCTGATTTAACATTCATTTTTGATTTTGTTGTAAACTATAGATTTTTTAGTAGTTTTCAGACTTTGATAAGTGATCCCTCTTTGCATAGCAATTCCTAGGTAGCCGTTATTAACATATCGTTTGCAGTTTTATATCCGTCATAATCTTGTCGGGCGTAAACCAACTACAGTAAAGAATGCTGATTGATTTGTTAATGTCCATATATGTCTTTTGTGTCGGATTGCCTTCCTGCTGCGCCACAGTTTCGTATAGCCAGGAAAAAGTCATATCTTACCGTTGCTGTGATTTACCACGAGGTGAATTTCTGGGCACATTGCTAGAATTATTGTGGACCTCCCAGGTTAAACAGGTTAAACGAAAACCAGAAAAGTTTGACATTTCTGTCAGGATCTTTAGCGAGGATACCTGCAGGTAAGTGGTTATTTTTATCTTTTATTTGATATTAATTGTTAAAAGACCACTTTCAAAATACCTGCATGTATCTTTTGCTTTTAATTTCTAATTTAATTTACTGTCCGTCCTTTCGTTACATTGTGAGTACGGGAATTATTTGTCGAGATCACGTCACCTTAGTGTAAATAATGCCCTGTAAAATCACCAATTGAACCTTGAAATTTGATATTTTACTCTTATTATCTTTGTTATTTGTTATTATTATTTTTTCTTCTTCCCTCTTACCTTTTTCATTAATATCTTTGATGAGATTTAAATATTGGTTTAATCATAGTTCACAAATTTTTCCGATCAGGTTAATGGTTTACGAGAAAATATTTTATTCCTGGAAGTCAAAATACACCAAAATAAAAAGAAAATTCAAGATTGCGAGATTTGAATACGTCGTTTTTCAACAGATGAAATGCGGGTGTGAACTTCTACCCTTCTGTCAAATCTGAAGTCGATAGCTGCAAATTTTTGAATATAGCACTTAATATTTTGAACACCCTGTACAACAGGTGAAAACTTGAAATACAAAACTTTTAGCTGTTTATGCGGGCTATATCGTTATGTAAAACAGACTGGCATCCTAAGGGCGGTCTTTCAGTTATAGCCCATTTTTCAGTTTTTTTGATGTACATTTTTGAAAATTTTCAGGAATAAAATTTTATGGAGCCGAATCTTCTGGGTCTTCTGGTTCAATAATTTTCTTGGTTGCATTAATGCTTTTCTATAAATGAGTCGTTTCTTAGACCTTTACAAACGTGATTTTTATTTTTTTTTAAATACTTCCCGACCCCCCAGCCCCCCCAATTTCAATAGGTTCTATGAGAGGACCAAGCGCTATCCGTCTGAAAAATTTGAAGTCGATAGCTTCAAATTTCATACTTATGGTGTATCATAGCAATGTCCAAAAAACAGTCGAAAATCGAAAAAAAAAAGATGGACGCCGAAGTTTGAGCGCAGCCATTTTCACACATCTTATGCACCCCGTGGACGGTTAAAAAGAAGCAAAATTTGAAACTTGTGGCTCAAACCGTTCGGAAATTATCGTCGAAATGGTCTAGGAACAGAGAACGGAGAAACGGAGAATGCAGAACGGACAGACAAAAAAAATTTTGTTTGACGATCGATTTTTCGAAAGTAACAAACAACTACAAAGCAAGGGCGCTCAAAAATTGGGAAGGTGTCATGACCCCTACTCACGTGGGCCATCCCTCGCCGGTCTGTACGGCGAACAGCGTCAGCATGGCCATCGCTACGTCATCGTAGTGGAACTTTTGCGCCTTCCACTGGCGCGGCTCGACCCTCGGCACGTCACCGTCCTCCTCGTAGACGAAATAGTGACCCCTGAAACACGACGTGTTTGACTAATTCGAATTTTTTGTAATACATTTTACTTAATATTAATAAAAACTCATCAATAAAAAGAAAAAATTATTGCGAACATCAAACTTTAATACAATGTAATTATTATACGTTCACAAAAAAACTCTATATTAACAAACAGTTTTTAATTAAATAAATATATGAAAACGGTTTAATAACACTACGCAAAATGTAGAAACCTTTTGAAATAATTATATTTAAGTAAATAAAAACATAATGAAGGGTGTCCCAAAAGTAATAATTCAACAAAAAAAAAAGTTATTTATTTAATATAGATTAAAACAAATAGTGTTATCGCATTTTTAAAAATATTTAAGTTTGCTTGAAAGAAACGAAATAAAAAAATAACAGGGTTTTTATCTAAGTGTCATTCAGTTAAACACTTTGCTCTGATTTTGTTACAATTTTTGCATTAGCCATAGCTCTAAAAAAGTTAAACCATTGCTTTGCAATATGAGCGTTCATTCAAGGTTTTGATTTATAGTCTTAGTGTCAAACGAGCATGACAATGCATAGTACAGAAAAATTATGACAATACCTTTCACTATTGAAATGCCAAAAATAATAACAATGTCTTACATGAATCGAACTTAAGTTACACTATCGCTCTATAAAAAAAAACAAATTTATATATTAATAGGTTACAACTTATAACGGAAAACGTTTTTCTCCGATTTTTTTTGCCCACCCGGTAAGTTCTTTAAATATTATGTTTATAAAATGGAGCAGGTGGGACCAACATTGTGTGTTACACGTAATACCACAGCATGTTAATTTAATACATAATATCAACAGCATCCCTAAATTATGCCAAAATTGTAACATATTGCATACTTTTTTGGGCTATTTTTTTAATATGACTTAATATGAATTTACTTAGCATAAAATTAGTCTGAAAACTTACATTTACTGCCTTCCTGCATTTTGAATTTTCTCAAAAGCAAATTTTTTTAAAAAAATCAACTCCACTTTTTACAACAAACGTTACAAAATTATTGTTGACGTGTGCATGGTAACAAGACGACTTAAATCGCTTTGTTTTGTGGAGGGTCATTTCCTATTTAATTAGTTTGTCCTAAGGAAAACGTTGATTTTGGGGTCCTGTCGCATACTTACTGACACGTGGCCTTGGTGATCTTGCTGCCGTCGGTGCAGTGAAAGAATTTGCCGTTGAACAGTTGCACGGCGATAACGGCGAATATGAATTGGAACAATATATACACAATGAGAATGTTTATCACGTTCTTCAGCGAGTTCACTAAACAGTCGAACACCGCCTTCAGTTTCGGCACCCGTTTGATGGTCTTCAGCGGCCGCAGCACCCGCAGCACTCGCAGCGACTTGATCGTCGACAGGTTCGCGCCGGCGGCTCCGCCTCCGCCCCTGCAACACGACGTTCAGAGAGCGTTGTCGTCCCTGCGGGCCGTCGCACTTACATAAAATCGAAACCCATGGAAACGAGGGCGCAAACGACGACCACGGCGTCCATGATGTTCCAGAATTCGCGCAGGTACGAGCCGGGGTGCATGATGACGCCCAGATCGATGACCTTGAGGAACATCTCGACGGCGAAGACGCCGGTGAACGCGTAGTCGAACTTGTCGAGGATGTTGTTGCGGAACGACTTCTCGTCGACCGGGTCCTCCGCCGCGAGCGCCGCCGAACTCATGCAGATCACCACCATGATGAAGAAGTCGAAGTAGCGCAAGTTGACCACCCAGTGGGCGCCGCGACGGATTGGATTCGTCGACGACAGTATAAACATGCTCGAGTAAGGTAGCATGGGCTTCGGACCAACGATCTCCTCTTCCTCGTCGTCGGGCGGTTTCTCGTCCTTTTTCTTCCGGCCGCGACCGCTAGGCGGACTGGGCGAACTCACCTCTACCCGGGGATTGCTGCCCTCCATCTGCAACGCCTCCATCTCCTTCTCCAACTCGAGCGCTTGCTTTTCCTAATCGTCGTAGAAGTGAGTCAGGGAGGAGTTTACCGCAATGTGGCTCACCTTGTTTTCTTCGGCTTGTTCCTCTTCGGCCGCGGTCAGCTCTTGCGCGTTCGCCAGATTGTCGACGGCGATGGCGAGAAACACGTTCAGCAGCGTGTAGTTTCCGAACAGCATAAGGATGATAAAGTACAAGGAATACACCATTCCGACGCTGGGTCCGCCCAGCGCGTTAATCCCGTTATACATGACCTCGTTCCAGTCCTCTCCGGTGAGGATCTGTAACGATAACGTCAGAGGGTGGCGTGCGCGGAGAGTGAGGTTTACCTGGAAAACGGTGAGCAGTGCGATGGGGAACGTGTTAAAGTTGGCGGGCGGAGTGCCGTCGTCGAAATTGAACTGGCCGCCGAAGAGCTGCATACCGAGCAACGCGAAGATGAGGATGAATAGGAAGAGGAGAAACAGGAGCGAGATGATGGAGCGCATCGAGTTGAGCAGCGAAATTACGAGGTTGCGCAGCGAGGACCAGTACTTGGTGACTTTAAATATGCGGAGGAGGCGGAGCGCCCTGAGCACCGACAATCCGAAAGATCCGCCCTTCACCCCCGACCAGATCACCTCGAATATCGAACCTGAGATGACGACGCAATCGAATCGATTGAAGGCCGACTCGAAGTAGATGCGAGGCCCGAGGGCGTACATTTTGATGAACATCTCCGACATAAAGAGGCCGAGGAATACGTACTCGGCGTAATCTGCAACATGGCGTTTATACGGCAGTCGACGGGGAAGCTACACCGCGCGTAAATCTCTTAAACTAGCACCCAATTCAATCAATTTGCTCAAATTTATTCGGATTTAAAGAAATATTTTCAAATTTAGTGAATAATACGAAGACATCGATATATTTTCTTGTAGAAACATATTTAAGTAGTAAGGGTATGTGGTAGATAAGATAAATGAAAACAATTTAATACTCTTTGATAAAAACTAAACCGTATTTTTAAGTTTTAACTAATACTCAGATTATTACTATATTTTATTAATGGCGGCAAGATTACACATTGGAAATCGTAAAGTACTGTTGAGAGATGCCCAAAAACCTAGATATTAAAAAAAAAACAAATAAATAAAAAAACAAATTATTTCTTTTACTACTTTTAAAATTTTAATTTTTAAATTCTAAATAAAACTTTCTGATTTAATATTGTTATCGAGGAAATATAGAATGGATCGTCAAGATCAAATGACTAACTTTTAACTTACAATCAGTGTTTCGTGGCTTTTTGTGTGCTGACTGTATTGCAACGACAATAACTCGTAATAATCGTCTATCTTCATTTTCCAAAAAAAAAAAAAATACCAAGAGACCATTAACAAGGACATGATTATGTATTATCTCCAAAAATCCCTGAAATCAAGTTTTAATGGGGATATGTAAAAACAGCTTGAGCAGAAATAACAATTTGGAGAATTTAATCTTGAATTGGTTTTCCTGCGTATATTCATTCTGTTGCCTTCTTCATAGTGTAACTGGAACTGGCTCGCATTTTAGTCTGTGCCTGCTGATATATTGTTCGAGGGGGGCGAAAAATATGAGAATATATAGAAATCTATAAGCAACCTAATAATCTTAACCACGGCTCAGGTCTTTACCTATTTGCCCCTCATTTAACTCCGCCCTCCTTAAACAATATATAGAGGAGAATTCAGGAGTTTTGTAAAAAGTATTACAGTGGCCTGTGAAAGTTACTTTGAAAATTAATCTTGTATTACTTTTTGGGGCATTCGACTCGATATATGAAAGGAAAATTATGACCTTAGACATTTTAATATTGTGAACAACCCTACGGCGATCTCGTAGACATATCGTTTTACTGTGTATATATATTTTTCTTTAAGTTCTAAAAAATATTCTTCTTTCTTGCAGATAACATGTAAATGTAAATTTAACTGCAAGTCGTTAAACTTAGAACAGAGATTGATACTTTTTGAAAAATAGTGAAGTCTGTGGAACCTTCGTGATAGTCACCGTCAATGTCAGTATATAACCTTCCAGACGGAGAGGGTAATGTTGTAGTTGTATGTAAATCTACTTTTATAAATCCGATACGAAAGACAAAAAGCGGGAAAGTCGTTTATAAGGACATGAGAACTTGTAACAGCCACTGGAAAATTTACGCAGACTGATAGGCAGCTTGTTAGAGAGCATATAAATAGTATACCCCGAGAAGAATCTCATTATTCGCGCGCAAAAATATGCAAAAGAATATTTAACTCCAGATTTAAATGTGAACCGCCTTCATAAAGCGTTTTTGCAGAAATATCCATTCAGTTTGGTAACCCACAAGTTTTACAAAAAAGTGTTGAAAGAGGACTTTCGAAATGTGTCATTTAGAGAACCTCGAAGTGACACAGTCGTAAATGTGACTCGTTACATTGCGAAATAAAAGCGCAGGATGCAAGAAGTCGGACAGCAAAGTTGGAGCTGGAGGTGCACCATAGAAAGACAGAAGCAGCCTGTATGCTCGTGAAAAGAGATGTCGCATTTAGAACAAATCATGTTCGTACCGACTTTGACCAACTCTGACGTGTATGCATGAAGGAGTGGCAGGACGTGGCGGTAACGAAATTGGGTCTTGTTTATTACGCATCCTTAATATGGGCATTACAGAAAAAACGAATGTTGTTGTTTGGAGCCATGACTGTATTGCTCAAAATAAAAACAGAATGATTGTTTTTATTTATATGTTTTTAGTGAGTTCTGGACTCTTTGACACAATTGAACTTGTCAGTGGTCATAGCTTCCTTCAGTGCGACAGGAATTTTGCATTGATCGAGAAAACAAAGCTCAAGTGCGTTCCGATGGTACCTGAGGACTTACACAATGTAATACTGTCAAGCACACACTGCGATTTGCGATAGTAGATATGACACGATGTACAAGCGACAGCTGACAAGATAGTAAATCTCCAACATGTCAATATTAGCAAAGTCGTTCGAATGAAAGTTGACTCCCAAAGACCTGGCTTTTTGTTTACTGCTGAATCTTTTTCTGAAGTAGCATGATGGAAGGCCACATCGATACTTAAGAAGGGAAAAAACATAGAGCATATTAGAAATATCTCAGTTAGGCTGCTACCAGACATGAATAAGATCGGTGACAACAAGAAAACTAACCTAATATCAATGATTCCTTATCTAAAAGACCATAAGCACCCAGAATTTTATGAGTTGCCACTTAGCCCGTTTCGCATTTTCCTTAAATATTTTTAAAAAATTTTGTTTTTTTGTGTCGCAAGTTATTTACCCGTAAGCCAAATAATATGTTAGTTTATTTTTTGAAAATAAAATGTTTTTTATTTTGGTAATAAAACGATTTTTTTTTTTTAATATCCCCTTTTAATAATTTTCACACTTAACTCCTTTGCTACGTCTACTCTTCAATTATGAACTTAGAATGTTAGAATTTAGAGTTTTATAATTAATGGGTGCTAATTTAAATAGATTTACCGACGGTGCTGCGGGTCGGTTCGCTCACATAAAAAATCGTCGAGCCACTGCGGCTGGCCGTGGTACTCGACCGCCACGCAGAACGTATTGAAGAAGACGAGCACGATCACGGTCCAGTAGAACCACTGGCTCTTCACCATGTGTCGTATGCTGAATCGGAAGCGCTTCTCCGCGCGCCAAAAGCGAGCGCATCCGCCCTGGCCTTTGGCGCGCGATTTCATGTAACCGGATCGGCCGAAACCTGCTAACAAGACTTGCCACTTCAACATTGGAGATGGGTTTCGCGTGGGATCGCGTCCGTCCGCCGCACTAAAATCTATAGATTCGCAAAAAAACACTATCGCTACGAGATATACGGCGGACGTTAACGTTCGGAATGAGTCGTCGTAGAAGTGGGAGAAGGATTCTACTCGGGAACGTTCGTTCTATTCTATGTCTATTCGACGGTCAAGCGCAAATGAAACACTATGTCATCGGCCAATACGTTAGAAGGAAAGAACGCCTCTCTTAAAATTAGAGCATTTTTTGGTACTTATTTTGTGCCAGTTTGTACCACAAAAAAAAGTACCTTACGCACCATCAGCGCCACTCTACAAGGTTAAAGAAAAACCAAAAGATAGACGAATAAATCTGAAATTGCACCAATGTCCACTACTGCTAGTTCTGGTATTCAACATAATCTATATATGACCAAGAAATAAATCAGTGGCAAATTTTGACTAAAAATTGTTAGTAATATATCACCAAAAGTACATTGAAATGTTTTAACGTTTATTTTAAGCAACTGAGAAACAAAACCAACATTGGGAAACTTTCTCGAAACGGATGGAAAGTGATATCTACGGACAAATTTGGCACTGTCTTGGAACTCAAAGAAAACAGATCAACCAGTTAGTTGAAACAAACCATATAGTAAGAGAAACTTTGGTTAATTATTTGTCAGAATTATGCAAATCAGAAGAAATTGAGGTTGAACGAAACACACCTGTGACAAACGACAACGTACAGATAGAGACATCCGATATAAATACAGCTTTCAGAAAGCTAAAGAACAGGAAGAGCTTACGTCAAGATGACATTTCAAACGAACTACTTAAATAGGTCGGTCAATGCATCACACACCAGTTAAAATCCCTAATTCAAAAAATTCTGTACTGTATACTGCACTATACTGATGCTTAAAAGAGGAAATAAAAACTGCATTCAAACTACAGAGGCATAAATCTCTTAAGTACCATATTGAACTTTATAACAAAATTAACGACTTAACATCCTTAGCAGACGAACAATAGGGATTTAGATCATGCAGACGCCGTTTTTGAATAGAACAAACCTCTACAATAACCAAATCCCACACAACCTCATCAAAACCATAGAAAACATATATGAAGCGAATCAAATTCGAGCAAAAATTAACGGGGTTCTGTCCGAACATGACTCCCTGAGTTCCCTTCCTATCAACATAATTATGGACTAAATAATTAGATGTGTACGCTTACTAAAGGGACACGGAATGGGCGATCAGGAAATTAATATTCTGTGTTATGCCGACGACGCTGTATTAGTTGCCGAAGATGAAGACGATTTCCAGCGTCTAATACACCGATTTAACTGCCCCAATATGATAATGATAATATCAACCCAGAAAACTAAACGTATGACGACATCAAAAGTTCCATTGACTTGCAAACTGGAAGTTGAAGGAAATGTTATCCAGCAGGAAATAAAATGTAAGTATTTAGGCATAGAAATATCAGGATATCGTGATATTGAGGCGGAGGAGAGAGAACGAGCAACAAAGGCAACGAGAATAGCAGGATGCCTCAATGACACGATATGGCGAAATAAAAATATCAAAGTGGAAACTAAATTTATAGGGCAACTGTGAGAGCAATTATGACACACTGCAGAAAGTCGACCTGATACAGCAAAATCCAAACAGCTACTAGAGACAATCGAAATGAGGGTATTTCGCAGAATAGCTGGAAAAACACTGTTAGACAGAGAGGGAAATGGCAGCATAAGAAGGACGTGGGAGGTGGAAAATGTGAATGAGTGGTACATTTTAGAAAGAAAGAATGGAACCAACACATCAGCAGAAGGGTAGTAAGAATTGCACGCGACAAATCACCGCTAGGTTGCAGAAGTGTAGAATGTTCTCGAAAACGTTGGTGCGACAACTTGGCACTCTAACTGGCCGAGACAACCAAGGAGTCGGCGACTCCCCCAATATGAGGATGGAAGAAGAATAAACTAACACCATAAAAGGAAGGAAGAGAGACGCTTAGGATAACGATGATTGATTGATGATGACGAAGACAGACATGGCGTCACAAGAAGAAGAACACTACATCAGGGACTTGGTTACATTGTTAAAAAAGTGCTAAGTTGCTTATTTAACGCGTTTGATCTTGACTAGCTTTCATAGAGATCGCTTTATTTAATTCATTATTTTAATAACCTCGTTAATAGAAGAACACTGGTGCATATATATTAACCAAACGCCAATACACTTTGTAAAAAGTAACACCTTCAAAATTCTTGTTATAAAAAACTTGTCTGTTAATCGGTAAACATTTTGGTTATGCCATTTTTTATTCGATTTGTTGTTTACGAAATTAATAAATTAATAAACAAATGATTTCGTATAAATTAAAATCTTTTTACTCTTGCCTTTGGTATATTGCGAATCCATCAGCGTGGTGCGATTGCGTGGTGTTATTTCGACTGCTACAATTTACTATACTAATAAATACTGGGGTACGTTTAATTCTAAACGTCAGTACAATTTTTTTATGGTACGAAATCGGCCCAAAATGTCGCTCTGCCAGCTTAAGGGAGGCGGGCATTTCGGTTGCGAATCATACGAAGCGCTCTACTTGAGATGCATTTACCCATACAGCTAAATAGAAGCGTTTCACGAGTCCATTTTACTTTTTACAATCAAACGTAAAACGGACAAAAACGGGAAAAGAAAACGGAACGTGTCTAAGTCATCATCTGTCACTTTATGAATTTTTATTTTTTTACACAATTTTTCCAATGGGCTGCGTACCTTTAAGCTTTTTGTTTGATTCTGTAAGAAACACTGGGAATTAAAAATCAGTATCAGTATACAAGACAAACGGTCGTGGGAAATTCGACACGCCTTAAAATAGGGCCGGTGAGGATTTTCGTCCCCTACTAATCCCCTACCCCAAGGCGGTCGAACTTAGTGGGCGGGGAGAATGAAAAACATCAATTTACACCTGCCATAGACGACGTGCAACCGGTGCGCGGGGGAGGGGACTCTCCCTCCCCCCTCCCACTGGTTGTAGTGAAAACGACGAGGGAGGAGTAAAATGGCTCGACACGGGCGAAAATTCGATCCTTACCATCATCGGCGATGTCCTCCTCTTCCTGTTCTTCCTCCGTGTCGGTGCTTTTACTCTTGCCGATCTTCTTCAGCTTGTTCTTCTTCGCCGCCCTTCGACGCGCCTCCATGATGTGCATCTTCTCCTCTTCCGTCGTACGCTCCTCCGCCAATATGACCTCCTCTGCGGGAAGGGCAACAAAATTCAACCACGGAACACCCCGTTAGGTTAAGCCACAGAACATAAACGAGGCTCCGTACCTCAACGCTCGCTCTTGTTTATGCACAGTGGCTAAGCGAAGCCAACTATACTACGGCCGCCACCTTTCGGCCGGCGTCGCAAAGCTTCGGCATACGCGTCAGCGCCATCTAGCTTACCCGCTTTGCAAATCCACTGCACGTATCCGTTCAGCTCGCGTTCTAGCTGGGCAGCCCGTCTCAGCTTCAAGAACTCTTGCCGATTCTCGACCTTCTCCCTTTCCTTGGCGAACTCGCTACATTGTACAGGGAGGAAAGGGAACATTTAGCGATTATACGGGGTCGATTCGAAACTACGATTAAAGCTGCGTCGATCATTTATTCGCGTTAATGAAAATCGGAAGGTGATCATTTTAGCTTCTACGGTAACTGAGTCGCGTTTGATTTAAAGCAGCGCTTCTCCTAGCCTTGGGAACGGTTCAACGGTCGTCAAATATTACTACAGTCGGTAGTAGTTACACCTAACTTTTGAGTCCCTCGTTCTAGAGAGGAGATCTTGAAAAAAAATCACAGATTTCTACCTAACCAAAGATCGTACAGATCGTACTGATTGCCAAACTTCAAAATTTTCGAATACCATTTTGCATTATTCTTTGTTTCCATCGTTTCTTCACTTGGTTATATCAAAATTAGAGCCAGAAGTAAATTTGGACGCCATTTTGACGTTACATTTCATCACGCGTCGACCGACAAACCGTCCCCCGCGTCTACACCCACCACCCGCGCACACCCTCTAGCGCAACTCTATCGGTGTAAATTGAGACCTGCTTCGGTGATCCAGAGGAGGTACCGTCCGAAGCTCTCGTTGAATCGATTTTTCGTTCGCGTGCGGTAAAAGTTCGCCCTACGTTCGACGCGTAACCGTTCGTTCGAGAACTCTCTGCGGACAGAGACGTGGTCTGATCGAACGCACCCACATACCCAACACCATCACCACCACCGCCACCACCACCACCATCAAACCGAAACCGCTTACCCGCTCAACACGCCGAGGACCAAGTTCAGCATGAAGAATGACCCCAGCACGATCAGAGGCACGAAGTACATCCAGTTGTAGTAGCTGCCCACGGCATCATTCATCTGCAACGCGAAGAGAAATACGTCAAGTCCCCTCCTTTTCGAACAGGAGCGAGTCTTCCCACCCAATACAATATAGCGGTCCAGCCTTCCATAGTGATGCACTGGAATACGGTGAGCATCGCGAAGCCGATGTTGTCAAACGAGGTGATGCCGTTGTTGGGTCCCTGCCACCGTTCGAGGCATACCGAATTGCCGTCCCTACACCAGTTGCTGCCCTGCGACTTCGCCTCCGTCTCGTTGTCCGTGTTGCACGGCACTTCTTCGCCGTCCTCCTTAACGATCTCCTCTGCGAGAGCACAACCAAACAAAAACGGTCACTCACTATTCTTCACTGTTCCTAAGCACCTATAGGCTGCCTTGTATGATTCCAATACAATTAACGGAAACGCCATTTATGAGGTGATAGAGTATTTTGAACTGTCAGTAGCATATTTAAATTAAATTCTAATTTTGCCAGGTTTGTTCTTACAAACTTTAAGTATACTATTTACAAACCTTCTGGATTCTTCCTAAGTCGGTTGATGCTGAGTTGAACTTGCTAACGTTTGGCCAATCATCCTGTTGGCTTCTTCAGAGCTTAAATGAAACTGACTCGCGGTCGCGGCTAAGATTGTTAGCTTCCTTATATATTTGTATTTTAGTTTAATTTTAGTTTTATCTAATAATTTTATGTCCGCTTTCGTAATTGTGTTCGGCAACTGCTGATGAGTTTATTTGTCTTAGTCTTAAGGCTCTTTCATGTTCTTTGAACCTAGTTGATATTTTTCGTCGTCTTTGCCGCATATGCATGGAATGCCGTAAACTCCTGGCATCTCAATTGGAAATTTGTCTTTGACGAATCGATGAGAGATTTTTGGACAGGTGGTAAATCTGGTTTTGATGTTATATTTCTTTAGAACTTTTTATATGTGGTCAATGATGTTTTGAATGTAAGGGAAGACAATAGAGGCAAGTATAGAATTGCCCTCGGCCTCATTGCTTCTGGAAGGCTGTGGTGAAGCATATTTTGTGAAGGTGTTTTAATTGTGGGTTCAGTGACTTGGGGTAAGATAGTTTTACGACTCTATAAGCAAGAGAGTTGATAACCGATGATTTTTGGGCCGAATGGCGACGTGACAATGCATTGCGGTATAGGTCTGTGTGCGTAGGATCTAATAATGGGAGGTTATTTTAATAGTAGATATTCTTGTCAATAAAACCGTAGACCTAACGCACACAGACCGATACCTTAATGCATTGTCACATGACCACCCGAATCAAAAATCATCGGTTATCAATTCTCTTGTTTATAGAGCCGTAAATCTATCTCAGTCCACATTAAAGATATCGCATTGCAATGAGGCCGCAAGCAATCCCACACTTGCCACTGCTGTCCTTTTTTACATTCGAAACATCGCTGACCATGTATCAAAAGTTAAAAAAAAAATAAAAATTTAGGTCCGCCCTCCTCAAACAGTTACATAGTAAAATACGATCCACTTTAAGTTAAGCATGATTGACGAAACATTCGCAAGTTCGACTCAACAACAGGAGGAATCAAGAAGTTTTGTAAAAAGTATTACAGTAGCCTGTGAAAGTTTCTTTGAAAAATTAAGTATACCTTCTCGAATACAATATACGGAACGGGATTTACCTGTAGAAAAGTTCCACTTACCTATGTCGTAGAGGCTGTAACACGTCCTGTGTAGTGCCCCGGAGTAAAACTCCAGGCCGATGATGGCGAATATGACGATGGCGAAGAGGACCAGCAGTCCGATCTGCAACAGCGGGGCCATCGCCTTGATGATGGATTTGAGAACCACCTGCAGACCTATACGGCGCGATGGTTAGAAGTTGCTGGACGGACGGGGAGATTCTTTTTCCGAGTTCGACGATTTTCTTTCCGTTTCGAATAGTATTTTAAAACTAAACGAGAAAATGTGGAAAACCTTCCCCGGAAAAAGAATCTTAAATAAGACTCGATCAAGATTAATGCCGTTTTTACATTAAGTCAGGGGCGTGCGGGTCGTGGACCTCAATTAAATCGTTTTGTCTGAGACGCCTTATATCCGAGCAAAGAGGCACTCCCCTTTTGGGGTATACGTCTCCCGCCGCACGCCACTGATTAAAACTCCGTATTAAATAACTCGATACTTCAATGACTAACAAAAGTGAACGTAGCCAACGAGATACGAAGAGAATTGCTACAAGAAATAAGCGTTTAAGAAATGTCCGGAGTGCTCTTATATAACGACGGCGTCACTACAAGACCCTACTCCGTCCAGAGAGCTATACAACGTGAGGCATGCGTATCTCTTGTAAAACGTTTTAATTTTAACGCAAGTGTCTCATCGATTAACAAAATTTTGAGGCTATTTTCGGCGCAAATAAAGACATAACCGCGTGGCAGAAAGCCGACGATAAATTTTAGATATCCGTTTGATGTGCGCCGAGATAAACCACTAAGTCGATTTTTTTTACATCCTATTGTCACGAATACACCCCTCCTGCACTCCCTAAAAGCGTGTCGCTACCAGAAATAAAAGAAACGGAAAATCCAAATTTTATTAGATAATTTTGAATTTTTTAGTTAACTTGACCGACCCAAGATCATCGAAGCGATGTAGCGACTAAAAGTTAATTGAATCTACTGATCAAGAAAGGATATCGTCACTTTCTTTTACAAAAATCTTGTGTCAACATTGTGATATTTTTTTATGAATGACCCCCTTCAGTGTTAGTGTGGTGAAAGCGGTCTACGCTAACCAAACGTCTACCCATCTACTTACTAGGGATGCCAGAGACTAGCTTCAAAGGTCTAAGTACTCGGATAGCTCGTAACGTGCGCAGGTCCACTGCTATGAAATCTTGCGGGAACAACGTGAGAAACCTGCAAAATACTAGCCATTCTACCGAAAATAAGGAAAAAATCAACAGGACTAAGTATCGCTATAGTTTATCGCTAAACGGCCTATGAGGTTTCGGTCCTAAAAATCTGGCTTCGTCGCCGCGAAATCTAAAATATGTGCTACGGCTACGAGCAATGACCTTACGTTCGAAGAACACCCGAAACGTAGTAGAATTTTCCCCAAAACACCCACAAATCATTTAATTCAGTTATTATTGTCATAAAATTCTAACGAAAACAGAGTTTTATACATCACATCACAGAAAGCATCAAATTGAAATTTATTAATATCACGAAAATGTCCGAAATGTCTCGCAGCCTTAACCCTTTGCGCTCGTATTATTTTATCTACTTATCTGTCTACTCGGACTTTTTTATATTGTTTTTCTTAAATTAAAAAAGAAATCGCTTTATAAAAACCATGGTATTTAAAAAAATATATAATTATTATTATCTTAATCACTACCATTATTATTAAATAAATTCATACACAATATAAAAATATTACATTCTATAATGTTGTAATGTATGGTACCGTTCGAAGCAGTCACCAATGTGTAAGGGTGCAAGTGTCACAAACATGCCTAGTTTCCCGCCTGCTGCCTTGTACTTTACCTTTAGCCGCTCTTCTGTATCTACAGATCATGGTCTGCTCGAAATTTTGGACCCTTGCCGAAAGTTTTTTGTGATCTAGTCAACCAATTAAAGAACAAACTTTAGATGTGTCATTGGTTTTATGTTTTGGCCCTATTGTGAAATTTTATACAATAAACATTTCGAGTCCCCAGAAAAATAACTTTCGCAACCATTCGAAACTTCCCATAAATTTACTGTAATTGGCCGCTGCATTTGACTTATTTACAACTTGAAAGTTACCTTCACGTACTCTTCTGTTGATAGGTTGTGTTCTTAAAATATGCCAATAACATCAGATTACCTGATCTGTATGAAAATGTGTAATCTTCCATAAATGTTGGTTTTTTGATAATATTAGATATAAACTTGCGTCCGATTTGAATAGTACCCGTCAAATGAACATTTAATTTTAACAATTCTTCTGCAAGTGGCAAGCTCGTATAGGATCTATCGGTATAAAAATGATATCCTCTTTATCCTGGGTTATTGTCTAATAATTTTTGACACAGATGTAACACCATCCTTGTGCTCACAGGTAAATCAGGTATGACTAAACCTTCCGAGGTCAAGCTTCCTACATAAATTCGTATCCCCCATTTCGTAGGCTTGTTAGGATTGTAAGATAAAAAATAATTTTACCCTTAAACCCAACAACAGATACGTCTACCGAGATATCTCTTGAAATTTGTAAAAATCGTTCTCCTCTAAATATGCTACTAAAAAAAGGTATCTTTGCGTTAGAATGTTGTGACCAAAACTCTTGGAAATTAGATAAGACTATCGTACCCAGATTGGGACAACTCCAATAAATGCGGTAAACTCTTCTACTGTGGTATCTACCCACGTTTTGCTATTTTATGTCTAGCGTAGTTGTATTTGTTTGTTCCACTATTTTTATTATTAGTTCATCGGTAAAAAATAGCTCGAAAAAATCTATGGAATTTGTGGTCCTACCAGTTTATCCACAGAAGTAAATAGAATCCTGTCTGGTACCTGATCGTGGCATGCGACGTCCTGCCATGGACCAAAATTACCAGGTGGTGTTATATTCTCGTTTTTTTTTCACTGCCGGTAGAACTTGATGGTAAAGGTACGGTTCTCTGTCTTTTTGTAACTATAATATCACTACAACTAATAGAGTCACTAATATTATTACTATCCAATCTATCATTTTCAGGGGCATCAATATAATATTTTTTTTTAAATGTAAACCGAAAAAGTACACCGAACCTTACCCAAATCGTGTTAGTTATAAAACTGAGTAATATTCAAAATGCAAAAATGGTGCACTTGTGAACTAAAGAGGTTGAAATATATACACCAACAGATATAAAATAAACAACTTAAGATGGCGTGTATAAAATAAATATCGTGCGATCTTTTATTTCTACGTAACCTGTCCTGAACGAAGGTTCGAGAAAGCAATTTAGAAATATTAGAAATGAGCTTAGGGGATGACAGACGGGCAAACCTGCTGTAATGATAAGACATGGTGTGCCAATACGGCGGCATACGAGTGCAAAGGGTTAATTAACTAATTAATTATTTTATTAAAGAACAGTGAGTTTTACACATGTCAGAGAACATATCGTTGTCTACTCTATACAACAATAAGCGTCAAAATAAAATTAATTAAGAGAAGGGAGCTTTCACGTTTTTGGGAAACAATATTGCCACGCACTCCACGTAACAACAATATTAAACATTCACAAAGGTTTTAGATCAGTTATTAATTATTTATGTATTAAAAAATTATAATAAAAATAACAGCACAGAACAAAGAGAAAATTTTGAGGACGCACAGTGGGCCAGGAAAAAATAAAGTTTACTCCCTGACCCACCGTGGGACGGTGTCCTTCGGACGTAACGTCATTGACTACGAGACTGTCCTAAAAATCTAAACAACGTCACTGTGAACGACTCCTAAAAACAATGTCTATGAAAAAAAAAAAAAAGAAACAACTCGTCGACACTACGCAACAACAAAACCGACACCCATACTGCGAGGAACCAACCAAAAAGCTAAGAAAGTAACGGCTATGAGTCGTGGAGGCGGAGAAAGAGGAACGGGAGGAGGAAGAGGAGGTTAAACCTAACCAAGGTTTCAGCGCGGTCGGATAACTTATCTAACCGTGCCGAAAACCGAAACGTCGCACTTATATCCGGCGACGGTTCTTACTTGGTATTCTCGAAACCAACTTGAGGGGCCTCAACACGCGAAAAGAGCGTAGCATCCTCAGATCGACGTCGACGTTTGCTTCGGCGAATACGGTCATCGACCTACATTCCGAAAGTTTTGCGATACATAAAACAAAGCAAAAAACGATCGGGTAGAACTTAAACGAATAACGTCCCTTTGCGGCCTGACAACCTGTATGTATATATAAAAATGTCACGTCACTCCGGCTGCAATTATTCCTCTCAGTGTACTATACCGTAGCATAGGACACCGTTGGTAAATCGGCAACGATTAAAATTACGATGTCGATTAAATTAGAAGAACAAAAGAACGGTCGAAGATTATTATCATTATTAATAGAGTTTTTAGAACACCGTATACTTAAATTTTACCTATAACCATTTGTTTTAATTTTCTTATACGAGGTGTGTTCAAAAAGGAAGGTGATTTTATCAAAAAGTATTTATTTGAGTTTCTCTTTATCACCTCAATCAAACCTCCTTCCTTTCATGGGTTTCTTGAGTTCTGAAAATGGGAAAAAGTCGCACGGGACCATATCAGGCGAATATAGTGGCTGAACCATGTTAGTTACACACAAGTGAGCAGGTGCATTATCGTGATGCAAAATCGGTGAATTGTTTTCACACAATTCCGGACGTTTTTTTTCCGTATCGTTTCTCGCAAATGGCGCATATTTTCAAGGTAATACTCTTTATTGACAGTACGACCTTGACATTTGATCGATCTGAGGTACTTTTTCCAATCTTCGCGATTGTAGGTTCTTCTTGGAACAGCTTGTACCACTTATTTTTTTTTCTCAAAGTAGATTCAGCATATGGCATATTTCAGGTGTTTAACGGCACTGTATTCGATTTTTTACACAAAATTTTATGCAAAATTGTTTGTTCCATTTTTTTTACAGCAGCACACAACCCTTCTGCTTCTCAAAAAAAAAAAATAAACGTGCAAACTCGCTGAAACTGGGAACACGTGTTAGGGACATGTGTGCCGACATAACAAAAAAAATATATGTAAAATCGAATGCACATAGCCTGACCAATTACACAAGACACCTTACTTTTTGAACACACCTGGTATGTCTCTTTTTAAATATTTTGTAAATTAATTTAATTTGTTCAAACTCCAGTATCGTAAGTTTGGTTTCATCGGTATTTAATTATAATTTATAATATACCCAACTTAAGTGGAGATTAGGGTCAATACTTATAGTTATATTCGATGTTTTCTTTCCTCCCGTTTCAGAAATGAAACGTCCTAGATAAAGTCTAAGAATATCAAGTTGTAGAACGTAGAAAATTATAAAACATTCAACGGATTTTTGGGTTTCTAGAAGAATAAAAGTGAGATTTTCATCACGTGTCACGCTTTGGTACATCGAGAGAAATATACCGTGATGTTGGAGACTCACCCGGTGAGGACCACGAAAAAATCCATGATGTTCCAGATGTTGCGCAGGTAGGAGCCGCGGTGCAGGACGAACCCCAGCGCCAGGATTTTGAGCGACGCTTCCACACAAAAAATGCCCAGGAAGTAGACCTCGGTTTTTTCCTGCGAGTGTAAAAGGTGACGTTTTTGAAACAAAGCCTTTGAGTTATTTGGTCGGTTCGGAGACAATTTTGGTTGTTTTCCCCTTGAATTACTTGAAACTTACTAATTTTTGTGCTAGCATGGTTTTATCCGCGCAAGGCAAATGTTCCTCCAAGGCCAAGACGACGCAGTTGGCTATGATTGTCAAAAGTACGGCGTACTCGAATGGAGTGAACCAGGCGGTTAAGGACATACTGTATTACTTTTATGAACGTTCGAAACAACTCAACAAAAAAATTTTTCATGCAAAATCAGCTCGTTTTCGAGGCACCCCGAGATCGATCGCCATCTTGAACGACTTCAATATCAATGTGAAGTGGCGAGTCCGACAAAGCCAACATGTACGTCGTTATTTAGCGACCCCTTTTGCCAGTTGTTGACCCATTTCCGCATGCTAATCGGGTAATTGGGTTAATATATCGCGTGGTCCCTTTTCCGTCTCGATCGACGATAAATCATTTTTACAAAAGGAATAATAGGAGAAAAATTAATAAATAACTAAATTAATTCAAAAATATACAGTATGCTACAAATTAAAAATTGGCATAAGTGAATGCAATGACATCGGGGATTAAACAGTACACGCGCTAATTACAATTTATTTTACGCCTAGCCCATTTCCAATGATTTCGGTACCGTTTATTATTTCTTTGTCGTAGATCATTGATATCTGTTATAGGTGTTTCATACACTAAAGACTTTACGTGCCCCAAAAAAACGGTCCAGCTGGTGTGCGAGGAGGCCAAGCTAGAGGTCCGCCCAGACTTATCCATCGATATTCAAATGCCGTCTTGCATTAACCACATGTTTTGTCTCCACTGTGAGGGGTTCTGTTCCAGCAAAGTTGGTAGTTCCTCTGGGAGAAGTTGCAAATACATTTCCCCATTGAGCGATTCGTTAAAAAAATTAGTTCCTTCTAATTCCTGCCCAGACATTTATAGAAAACCGGCGCTGATGTTTTCCTTCATGTGGGTTTTCAATGTTCCATTAATGGATATTTCGAAAATCTACGACTAAATGCATCCTCGTCAGTAAACAAAATTTGATTGTATAAAATTGCTATTTAATGAAGGCGTTCAACATAAACAGGAAATTCTGACACGCATTGTAACAGGCAAGAAAACTCTTCATAAAAATGAAAAAAACTATTGCCGGCTCCGGACCTATCACTAGTAAGAACAAAAATGGTGCAATGCTATGTATTTCCCGTGTTGCTTTATGGCTTATAAGGCTGGACGCTGAATATAAAAACCACAAGAACGTTGGAAGCTTTTGAAATGTGGACTTATAGACGCATGCTGATAGTCTAGTGGATGAGTCGAACTACAAACGAGGAAGTGTTAGGAAGAATGGGCAAAGAACCTGAAATGCTCTTTAACGCAAACGCAAATTAAAAAACGCAAACTTGAGTTCCTGGGACATATATCACGCGGTACAAGATATGAGCTGCCGAAACTCATTATGGAAGGCAAAATTGTAGGTAGACGAAGTGTTATGATGATCAGCAATCATATTATCAGGTTTGAATGATCCTCTGCCACCAAGTGTATATGGTGAATGTCTTAGCAGATGGAACGTATCTCTTGGTATAAGCTTCGATATAAACCGTCGTGTTTGATTTGAATATCCATTTGCTCTTCCGTAGCAAAAATATATATGGCGGTATTCAGGATTTGGATAATAAGCTATTTCAATAGAAACTAATTTTTAACGGATTGTGACAATAACCTTTTCAAATTTCAATTAAGTCTTCTGGACTCGAATTTTACAAGTTTACAAGTAAAATTTTACAAGTAAAGTTCGAGTCGAAAAGAAAAAATTCGATTTATAGCTAAACGAGAACACTTATCGAGTTGAAACAGGAGTAAGAATGTTTGAGGATTTGTGATTCTGCTTGAGGCGATCTGTTCTATTTTGCGATATCAGTCTAAATACAGGAAAAATAAAAAAAAATCTGAAACACTTTAAACATACCAACTTATTTGATTGTTAATTAAACAAATTGCGTTAAAAATGATATCAAGATTTTGAATTTTTCTTACATGACTTACTACCGTTATTCTACCACGTTGAATCTTTTCTCAAAGTCTCCAAACTCAATTTCCGAACACCCATATATTTTGTTACCCATACTGTTTAATTATTATTAGCTTGAAAAGGATATGGCCATTCGATGATGAACCGTGTGTATCTGCGGATGATGTTCTCCTCGGAGAAGAGGAAAAGCGATGAGGAGCCGCCTTGCTGCTGTCCCGTCTGGCCCCCCGCCTGGCCGCCCATTCTATCAGCTGCTGAGAAGGAGCCCCCGGCTGCCCCCAACACGTGTGCTGCCCCCAACGGCCTGCCTTCCTTTCTGGCTTGCGCAGCCTGAAGCACAGCCGCCTCCTGGGCGGCGGCCAACCTAAAAACAAAGATAAAACCCTTAACGGTCATTATATTTATCAACCCCGGCTGGAACCAGCGAATAACCACGAGAAAAATACGCTTCACTAGTATTAAATTGTACAGGTCAAATCTCCCCCCCCCCCCCCCCCCCAAACACAAACTAACAAGCATTAATGGCATTCAGTTACGTTACATCAAGTTCGATTATAAGGCCATTATATAGCAGCCTAATTTCAATAAATATATTAGTTAGAAAAATTTTAAACGACATTTTAATACAATATTATAAAACAAGTACGATAAACGGCATTTGACTTACGAGTTTATTTGACACGAGCGGAGCGTCACAATTGACAAACGTCAAAATTCAAGGCATGGGAAATATCTCCGAAAAGATCCGATTGCTCCCAAAATACCGACAATGACCCGCACGCTAGATGGGTGTGTAATTAGGCATTTTACAGACGGGAGTAAAAAAAAAATTTTACCTTTTCAGTGCAATGGTATCTTTCCATGAAGACGATTTGATCATAATAGAACGAGATTGAAAATACCGACTATAATTAATTTAAATTATGTAGACCTCTGATAGACAGCTGGAACATATTCTATCTACCAACTTTTGGCCTTAAGAGTATGTTGCCACGGTTCAGGCGATTCTTTTAGTGACTGTTATTTTTTTCGGTTTTGAGTTTTGTCTTATTTACACTTTTTTTTATATAGTTGCTTTTGATTGGGTCGATTTTTACTATGCTGTTTATTGCTACATAATCGGTATTCGGTATTTTCGGTTATTTGTTGTTACTTGTCGAATTAAGTGCCTTGTTAATGGATATTATATCTGCTAGACAATAAAGATTATTATTATTATTATTATTATTATTGTTATTATTATGACTATTATTTGAAATTTCCGTGCCAAGGAATGAAAAAATTTGTTTGAATAGTCAATACCTTTCAGAAAAGGTCTTGGTGCTTTATAATTAAAATAATAATAATAATAATAATAATAATAATAATAATAATAATAATAATAATAATAATAATAATAACAATAATAATAACAACAATAATAATAATAACAATAATAATAATAATAATAATAATAATAATAATAACAGTGATAATGATGATAATAATAATAACAAATTGTTTATTGCTCATAAAGATTCAAGATTCTACTGAGTACAGGACGTTTTAGTTTAATAGCATATTAAATTTAAATTTGAATATTTATTTTACAAATGACCCAGACAAAATAAAATATATAATTCCGGCCTACAAAAATAAACTGACCAAAACAAGGGAAGATAAACCAAAATAATGGATTGAATTAATTGAATGAAGTTGCTTTCAGCCATAGCTTTAAACTTGGCCAAGGACTGTGTGAACCCTTTAGATGTTATAATAGCTTTCTACTCCCGGCTGTATAATACCTAATTACACACCGATCTAGCGTGCGGGAAGCGTCATTTTTCCACATTAGTTTCGTTTCCCACAGATCCGAGCCACTATCTGGGATTTTGCTGCACGGGTTTGGGAGCAATCGGATGTTTTCGGAGATACTTCCCACTCTTTGAATTTTGATGTTTGTCAATTCTGACGGTCATGTCAGTGAATGCATTCTTGTTATTTTGCGAAAATGCACCCAAAAACTAATGGTGGTTGAAAAAGTATAGTACGCAACACGTTCGGTAAACTTTTTAACTCACTCGTTTATTAAACACTGGCTCCGCTCGTGTCAAATAAACTCGTGAGTCAAATGCCGTTTACCGCACTTGTTGTAAAATACACTATTTTCATTTAAGCAGGAATTATGTTATTTAATTTTTTTCCATAATATAGAAATCTTCGTTGCCATATCTGTCTCTTTGCAAATGGTAAGTTTTCTTTCATCTTTTCTCTAGTAAAGTGGCCACGAGATATGTGCAATGCTTAAATAACTGATCTAAGGGATACTATCGGTTAAGTCGAAATATAGCTTTCAGGACTCTTTTCTGAATTCCCTAATGGTTTTATATCACTTTTATATGTAAAGGCCCAGCCGATAATGCCGTATAGTAGACCAACGCAACGTATAAGGAAAGATTTTCTTTTCTTGAAAGAATTTGTCTCGTTTGCTTAAACATATTTACTAGTAATTATTACAGATAACGTTTGATTTGGTGGGTCTAGATACCTCAAAAACACATTAGATTTTAGACGTAGTGTCGTCCTAGCTCAGTTTAGTCGACGACTCAAACCTGACAGCTCCATTGGGGTGTAAAATTAGGTAACTAAGCACTGCACATGATTTCGGGTCGCCTTTTATGACGTCAATGCTACGTCAAAACGCTTGTCGAGGCCAGGAAATTATTCTTTTTGACTTCTGACTGAAAAGCAGATGATTGGATAATTTATTTTTTAGTGTCACTTATTTCGTTATTTTAATGTAATATTTATTTGGAAAGTGCCAAATTGGTTCCGTTGAGCTTTCGCCACGGCTTCGTTATCCCCCTCCACTGTGTCGATGAAAAAAAAACATAAACCGAGACACGAGAGACGAAAGGAGTGAGGAGGGGGAGGGGGTGAGTTTCGCAGCCGGGAAAAACTGGCGGGCTGCTGGAGGGCCGCATTCGATCGATAGACGTTCAGTAGGTGAGCAGGGTTGCCGCGTGTCGCGACACCGGCGACACGGCCTTTGAAGTAGCGGCAATGTCGCGCGGACAGCCGGGATGCGTGTCAGCGGGCCGCGCGAGGCCGATAGCCTAGTTTTTCCGCGTCCGGAATTTTACGATATTCCGGACGTGTATGTACGTGTACGAGGGCGGGAATTGATTTAAACGAAACGCCGGACAGATATGTGCCGAGTTCGCGGACATTAAATTGCGATTCCTATTTGCTGGACGGAGAGAGGTCGGGGTTTAAGCGGTACTGGCCACTGGATGTATAGTCCTTTTACAGATAAATAGTTTTGACTTATTGAATGCAATAGGTAGATAGATGGACAGTTCTTTATTTTAAACATTGTTACCAATGCTAACAATAAATGAAATGACGTTAAAGGCCCGCAGCTACAACTAGAGGTACTTATTTCTTAATGTTCCACAAGTATTATATTATATTCAATTAAGAGTTTTTTAATTTCCTTTTTAATCGCATTCGTCTAACATTCAGAGGTATCTTTATTAATAGTAGCGGAGCGAGTTTTTTTTGTATAGTAGTATATTATGCAACAAGATCGGTAAACGGCATTTGACTCACGAATTCATTTGACACGAGCGGAGCGCAGCGGAGCGAGTGTTTAATAAACGAATGACTTAAAAAGTTTACCGAACGGTTATGACCGTTAGTTTTTGTTTGCAAAACAACACGAATACATTCACTGACATGACCGTCAGAATTGACTGATATAAGTCGAAAAATTTTGTATTTGTATCTACGCCTGAGTTGCCTATTGTTTCTATATTAGACTGATTATTATTGTCTGTAACTTTCTTTAACCGTGTATATGTCATTGATAAATATAACAAACTACGCCATGGTTATTATAGCAAACTTTTGACATTTCACCCTGTCCATTTTTGTAGACCTTAAAGATTTGAGCACGTTGGCTTAGATATGACTTTATCCATTTTAGTACTGAACCTCTTACGTGATATAACAATAATAATAATAAATAGCCTTTATTAAAGTAGGACAAAAAGAATATACTACAATAGAGTTGAACAGATGGCGAGGTCTAGCAGCGCTACTCCAAATAACCACCGATACAATGTAGTAGTATATTGAGAATTAACAATAAAAAAAAACTAACAAATATAAATAAGTCCCTTAAGTCCACCTAAGATTCACAATTAGTATGTATTATGTATAGATGAAACATTAAACTCTCTCTCGACAGAGTTTACGATACTATTCATATCAAATTATCACATCTTTAAAAGTTTTTCATTTATCGCCAATTAATTCACCCACAAAAACGCAAATTTCTAGGATCTATTAGAATTTTGTGCCCACAAACGACGCAGCCTGTATATAATTCCAACAATGTTCGCAATAGCGGATATAGCCCTGAATCTCCTTAGTTTTCTGGTATACGAATTTTTCCAATGAAGTAAATAGTTTTCATGAAGCTACATGTTTTCTGAAACCATGCAGTACGCGGTAATAGTAAATGACGTCATCGCGTGTAGATTGAGGGCGAGAAATGGTGCTTTTCATTTGGATGTTTTCAAATATCTCGAACAGCGTATGGGATAGACGGAAACCGTAAATACAAAAATTGTAGCCCTTAATACGGCCTACAACACTGTTTGAACTGATTAGCAATATTTTGTACGAATTTTGATTTACGGTTAATAATTCACTCTCTAAAAGAACAATTTTCAGGGTCTTTTATATTTTTGTCCATAACTAAAACACCTTGTATATAATTGAAAAAATGCGTTAAACAACAGTTATAGCGTCGGATCTCCCACGTATTACGGTTGTAAAATTTTTCCGATCGGACGAATGGTTTTGGAGAAAAAGATGTTTTTCAAATTCAAAAATTAAAAAAAAATACCGGCACTGCACTAATACACAATAACTCGTTTTACCACAAACCGAAACTCAATTTTACGTACTCGACCCGCGTTTCGCCAACCAGGAGAAGATTAAAACTGTTTCCTGTTTTCTGTTCCCGGCGTTTGTTCAAAAATTTGACCGTTATAAGAAAAATATGTTCCAGACAAACATTTTTCAATTAAGGTCGATTCAATTACTGAAGGATGTTGAATTTCAGGAATAGGGACTTTAGTAAAGAAGGATTCTATGTCGAAACTAACTAGAATATCTAATGTAATGCTTTTTAATTGTTTCCGTGTAAATGGTTTTAATAAAGAAGAATAGAGAATATCCTGGAGAACCAAATTACTAATCAAGATGACTTAGGATCCTCAAAGCTTGTAAACCTTGGCTAACGCAGAAAAGCAAAGAGAAGTTTGATGGAGGAAGAACTTCAGTAAGAAGAGAAGTTGGCTAAAGGACAACCAC